CACCACGTAACCACTGCAGTGTCAGGCTGGAGTAAACCACTCACTTTACTCCGATTCCAACTTTTGCCTCCGCCTGTACAGGCACCACGTGTGACCCCGCCGACGGCGGTGTCGGTTTCCTCGCAGGGCGGGCACCTTTTGCTCCGCTGGCGGTTTTAGGCGCCTCTGCTGGCGCCGCGGGGCTTCCCCGGCCTGCCGACCCATTCCGAGGGGTCGCTGTCTCCGTCGCACCCCTCCGGGCCGCCCCACGAGTGCGACGGAGACAGAGCGACGAGACGACGGCTCGGAACAGCCCGCTGCGCGCTGCGCCTTGCGGTGGCGAGAGACACTTGGCCGAAGCCTTCCTGGCCGTCGGCGTCGGCGACCTCGCCGTGCGTGAGCGGCAGGCGGCAGCGCGCCCCGCCCTCTGAGCCAGACGAAAATTAATGATTTTCTGTCCCTTTCTCTGGGAAGGTACACGCCTTAGCGCGCCTTGGCAGTGCACGTGCAGCGGCTGGGCGCTGACGTCACTCCACTGCGCTGCCCGAGTGCACGCGACAAACTGGCGTTCTGGGGGCGGGGGCCGCCGCCAAACGGCGAAACCCCCTCGCCGTCTTGACCGCCTCAAGGTGCAGCGGCGTGCTCCTGGGCGGCCCCCGGGGCGAGGCTAGCGTGATAAGGCGGTTACTGCCGTTCGGTTGGCAGCACTGCAAGCAGGCCCAGCAAGCCTCGCAGAGGCGAGTGCATTGAGTTCTCCGTCGCAGTGGCGCCAACTCCGAAAACAACTTGCTCTCTGACGTCATCGAGGCACTACACTGCGCGGGGCGCAGGAAACCCTGCTGGCAGTGGGGTGCACGCGGAAGCACTACTTGCCGTAATTGACACTTTTTGTTGTCGTTTTTCTTCGGCGGCAGGGTGATCTCCCCGACCGTCGCGCGTCCGGCAAATAAGCGCGTTCAGTTAGCCGCGCCCCGCCTTGTCGTATTTTCGGCTTAGCGAGCCGAACGTGCGAAAATGGTGGCAGCCCTGCTTCACACGCACTGCGCGCCCAGCTAATATCGCGAAAACGGGGCGAGCGTGGCGGCAGCGTGGCGGCAGCAGGTTCCTGCGAGACCATTACATTAATCCGGCCGATGCGGCATGGCGGCGCATGGCGGGGCGATGAGCCGACGGCTGCGGCCCCGGACACGGCGCCGGCAGGGGCGGCAGGGCAGGCTGACCGGGAGCACGACAAGACCAATAAGAGGAAGAGGGGCAGGACATCCATCAAAACATGACCCGTCCGCTGTCCGTTTGTCTGTCTGTCTGTCTGTCTGTCTGTCTGTCTGTCCGCCCTTCTGTCTGTCCGCCCTTCTGTCTGTCTGTCTGTCTGTCTGTCTGTCTGTCTGTCTGTCTGTCTGTCTGTTTGCGTGCCCGTCTGCGTGCTTGTGCCCTTGTTTTGCATGGGGCTCGTGACCGAGGTTAGGTATGCAACATCTGCGCCCTCGCGGAGCGGACGCGCATGCATATGTCTCACAGAGCGCGGCGCGGTCCTTCCCCCCCCCTCCCCCTCCCACTCCTCGTCAGAGATGGAAGCCCCCGCGGCTCGTGCCGCTGCATAAAGGGTCGTTGTCGTCCCGCGGCCCTCCCGCGGCCCGCACAGACACTGCCATCAAATTATTATTTTTCCCGCATATTTATGCGAGCGGGCTGCGGGCTTCATGCGCATTTTCTTCTTCATGCACGCGCACACTCGCCCTCTCACTCGCACACTCACACGCTCGCACTGTAACGACGCACGCGGTCGCGTTTTGCGCGGCACCGCGTTTGCCATATATATCCCCCCCCCCAGGAAGAAGTGCCCGCACTGTCGCCCGAACCTTCTTCGCAGAGCACCGCAGGCCGATTTCGTCGTTCTGTCTCTCTCGCTCTCGTGAGGCGTTCCTTGGAGGTGCGAGAGAGACAGGGCGACGAGACCGCTGTCGATGGGAATCATCCTGCCGGCGCAGCTCCGTTCGAGTCGCGAGTTCCTAGTGGAATGCGTGATGGACGCACGGCGCATGCGACAGTGACAGCTAAAAGAACGCCCGGACGGACAAAGTGCTTTTTGCCCTGAGTAAGTGGCTGCAAACAAGGCGAGCGCGAGCCCGGCCTGGCCAGGCCCCCCGGCGAGAGAGGCTGCCGCGAGCCGCGAGGCCGCACTGCCACCACTTACTCCTTTCCTTGTCCTGCGTGTGACTTCCAGTCAACAGGTTGATGTTTTTCTTGTTTGACCCTGTGCCCCAGTGACCGCCGCGGCCGTCCGCTAGTTGACCACGGCTAGTGTAGCCGGGCCGGGCAGGGCAGGGCCCCGCCGGGGGTTGGGGCGCCGCGGCGGGCGGTGCTTTGCGTGCGCGGCACCCCGACGGCCAGCCCCCGCGGCCCCCGCGGCCCCGCCCACCGCCGCGCCGCGGCCGACCCGCCACACATCGCCGGGGCACGCTATGCGCCCTTGCGCGCTAAGCGGCCGTCCCTCACGTTTTAATGCATGCGAAAACTTTTCGTGACCGGGGCGCCCAAATTGCCCGGCTTTTACTCGAGAATGAACCGGAACAAGCGTCGCCGTCGCCGCCAACAGAAAACAGTGCAGGTTCAATCCGTGCCAACGCGTTTCCGGTGTCCGCCGGCCTCTTCCGCGAGGGCGTCCTGCCCTGGCCCGCGGAGTGTGGAAAAGGGGCGTGAAATCGGAGACACCGCCTCGCCTCGCCTCGCCTCGCCGTCGCCGCGCGTCACGCCCAGCGGGCTGCTTCCGGAACGGTCGCTCCGTCTCTCTCCCTCTCACGGGGCGTTCCGTTGCGGTGCGAGAGAGACAGAGCGACCGTTCCGGCATCAGCCTGCAGTGCACCACACCGCGGCGGCGGCGCGGCGGGTCACGACGACGACGAGGGTCATGACGGTGGCGTGGGTGTTGGGTGGCAAACTGCGCGCCGCGCACGGAATGGGGACCATTACAGTGTGATGGGTGTGCGCGGTGACGCCCCGCCCCGCCCCGCCCTGTCGCCCCTGATTGGCTCAGGTCACTAATTGTCGCCGTTATTGCGGTCCATTAATTTGACATTGCGCGCGGTCTGCTTCCGGACGTCGGCCGCTCTGTCTCTCTGGCACTCACGGGGCGTGCCGAAGGGGTGCGAAGGAGACAGAGGCGCGGTGGTTCTCAATCGGCCGCTGGCCGCTGCCGTGCTTTCGCCGTGCGAGAGTTTCGCCGTGCCCTGCCTGGCCCTGCGAGGCCCCGCGAGAGTTTCGCCGTGCCCTGCCTGGCCCTGCGAGAGTTTCGCCGTGCCCTGCCTGGCCTTGCGAGGCCCCGCGAGAGTTTCGCCGTGCCCTGCCTGGCCCTGCGAGGCCCCGCGAGAGTTTCGCCGTGCCCTGCCTGGCCCTGCGAGGCCCCGCGAGAGTTTCGCCGTGCCCTGCCTGGCCCTGCGAGGCCCTCGGCGAGAGTTTCGCCGTGCCCTGCCTGGCCTTGCGAGGCCCCGCGAGAGTTTCGCCGTGCCTGCCTGGCCTGCGAGCCCTGCGAGCCCTGCGAGAGTTTCGCCGTGCCCTGCCTGGCCCTGCGAGGCCCCGCGAGAGTTTCGCCGTGCCCTGCCTGGCCCTGCGAGACCCTGCGAGACCCTGCGAGAGTTTCGCCGTGCCCTGCCTGGCCCTGCGAGACCCTGCGAGAGTTTCGCCGTGCCCTGCCTGGCCCTGCGAGGCCCGGCGAGAGTTTCGCCGTGCCCTGCCTGGCCCTGCGAGGCCCAGCGAGAGTTTCGCCGTGCCTGCTGCCTGCCCTGCGAGGCCCGGCGAGAGTTTCGCCGTGCCCTGCCTGGCCCTGCGAGGCCCGGCGAGAGTTTCGCCGTGCCCTGCCTGGCCCTGCGAGGCACTGCGAGAGTTTCGCCGCCGTGCTGGCCGCTGGCGGACACGTCGGCCGGGGGGTGAGGCAGGAAGGGCCCCCTTTATGTGTCTTTCCCTGTGGGCTCCTTGACAAGCAAACAGGGCTGGTAGCTTCGTCTCGTTTTTGCCTGTCTCCGTCCCCAGGCTCCGCCCCGCTCCGCTCGCCTTCTCGCTTGTCCTTGTCCTTGCCCGCGGTGCGGCGGCACGGCGCCGTGGAGGCAGCCGGCCCCGCCGAGCAGCCCTGCGCGGCGGGCTAGCCTACCCCGACTCCGCCGGGGGCTCCCCGCCGGAGAACCAAGTGGAGACGGGGCGGTGCAGCAGGGTGATTCCGCGTCTCTCTCTCTCTCACACACACACACACACATGGGAGAGAGCGCGCTGCCGAGGAGAATCGCTCCAGTCCGCGGATAGAGTCATTATATCGGGCGTCGGACGGGGGCACTGTTACTGCTGTCGGAGCACGTTGCGCGATGATAGAAATTGACTTAGGATCCTCTTTCCGTGAGAACCACTTACGGGCGCCACACACACATTTACACACTCGCGACGCAGGCCTTCAAGACCACCGTTATGCCCGTGAGAAGGAGGTGCGAAGCGGACTTCGTAATTGAGGCGTCCCGGGGCCCATAAAGTCCCTCGGCCTGCAAGTCTGCAAGGTGTCCGACCACTCCGCCTCCTCCCGCGGCCATTTCTGCAGTCAGTGACTTCGGTCATCATGCGTAACCAACCTAATCTCTCTAATCAAATAATCGGTGTTGACCAAAATCTCGAGCTGTTTGTTTCGCTTCCCTCCCCCCTGGTTCGCGCGTCCGCGACGCCGCGCTGTCTCTGTTGTGCTTTGGTAGCAGGTGTCGCCCTCTGGCGCCGTGCACTGCCTGCCGGCGTCGCCGCCAGCCCGCCAGCGGCAGCACCGCCGCCGTGTTGACGGTGCGCCGCGACGCCGTGGACGCCGTGGACGCCCCGCCCTCGGTCCGCGGGCCGCTCGCAGGGGGGCGCCACAGTCCGCGCGCCGTGCCGCCAGTGTGCCGCATGGCCGCCGGGCGGCGGCCTGTTGCGCCGCAGCACCGCCAGGCGGCGCCGCCGTCGCCCTCCCGCCCTTTTCGCGCCAAAAGTTGAAAACGGCGGTCCGTGTGTTGCAGGGTCTCGTTCGGCAGCTCCAAGGGCTCCATGGTGGAGACCTTGATCTACGAGAGCCCCCTCCAGGAGGAACCGGAACTGACCACGCCCACCTACGACCACCTCACGGGGCCCGTCATCGACCCCGCGCTCATCGAGAACGACCCCTCAGGGTGAGTAACAACACACACGCTGTCGCTCTCGGACGCCGGCCGGACGCCCCTCGCGCGTGCGAGAGAGACAGAGCATCGAGGACGCGGTTCCGAATCGGCCTGCAAGTGACACTCTGCAGTGATCCCGGCCGACTTGGCGGCCGCTTTTGCGAGTGTCGTGTAAATACTGCTGCCCCACATACAGCCTGGCTGCCTCGCCAGGCAAACCGCGGATAAAGCGATACGGGCCGTATTTCTATTTCCACCCAGCCTCCGTGCACTTGACGCTCGCTCGGCGCGCCGCGGCCTCCGATTCGCGTTTTTAGGCCACTTCGCGGCGGCGTGCGGCATTTCGGAATCCCGTTGGCTGCTTGGCAGAGCCAGGCAGCGCGCGCGTCAACTTGGGGATGACTTTGGCCAGACGCGGCTTAGACGCGGCGCGCGGCGTTACAGGCTGCCTCCGCACAGAGCTGGCGTCGCTCTGTCTCTCTCGCGTTGGTGGGGCGTTCCGTGGCGGCGGCGGGACCGCTCGGAACCGTCCCGCTGCGCGGCGTGGCGCCAGATGCCCAGATGGCATCATGGATTCGAGGCGAAGCATGGCGAAGTATGCCCTGGGCCTCTTGGCCTGTTCGGCGTGCTTTACCGCCACGGCCCCAGCGTGCCGCTGGCGGCCCACGCCGTGCCACGCCCTGCCCCGCGGCGCGGCCCGCGGTCGCCGCTAGCGGTCTCCGTTTGTGCATAGTTGTGGTTTCCCAAAATATCCTCTGCGAGGGCAGTGGGACCCGCCACGCCCTGCCCCGCCCCGCCCCGCCCCGCCCCGCGTCCGGCGGGATGAGTAAACAGTTGAAGTGCGCTCCCGTGTTGCCCTAGGGAGCCCTCTAGGGACCCTGAGCGCCCCGCCCTGGGCTCTCCCCGTTCGCAAGGTCAGCCTGCCCTGCCCAGCAGACTGATTCCGATCGTCGCTTCGTCTCTCTCACGCCTTCGGAACGCCCCACGAGCGCGACAGGGACGGGGCGACGAAAACGACTCTCGGAATCAGCCTGCCGCCGCCATGCGGGAGGGCGCCACTGCCCGTCCCGTTGTCCTCGACGGCGGCCTTCTTGTTGGTGGAGCGACTCGCCTCCCGTTCCTTCCATTCCGGAGGAATAACGGCACTTGTTAGAGCGCCTTTAACAGAGCCAAATAACTCCCCGCCAGGCACGACCAGTTACCCAGTTGCCCGAAAGCCCGCCGCCGGAGAGGAGGAGAGAGAAACCAGTCTGCAACTTTTTGTTGTCTTTGTCGGCCGTTGTTCGCTGCTTGCAGCCCCGGCCCCCGACGAGGATTTCGGCGAGCATGTTGTGCGGCAGAACGAGCGGCTTCCTGCCCCGCCGCCCTCCGCGCCTCCCTCCCCGTCCGCGGCCTTGACACTAGGATCGCTGCACTCGGCGCGCGCGCCGCCACGCCGCCACACCTGTGGGACAACAAGTCAAGTGTCGCCGAGTCCACCGGCCCGACAGAGCCCAAGCCAGCCCCTCCACGCCGCTGCAGCGCCGCGCTCGGTCATCAAGTGCTCCGTAGCGTGTACCCGGTCGCGGGTTTATGGCGCTGCAGAGCACGGCTCCGGCTCGCGGCCATCGAATCAAATTTGCTTCACTCGTGCGTGCTCCCCGCGCCGTGTGTGAGTGTGTGAATCTGCGCGAGTGTGTGTGCGAGTAAGTGTGAGTGTTCCTTGACACTTCTGCATGACATCACCGCCGCGTTCGGTGTGGACTGTACTACTGTACCAAACCTGTTTGTGCGGCGTGTGACGTGTGCCCGGTTTGAATCTCGCGCCGCGCCGGGGTCGCGGCCAGGTCGCCACGCTGCATTTGCTGAGGGCTGTGCCTTTGGCAGTGCTGCCGGGGCGTCCGGGGCGTCGTCCGGGGCGGCGTCCACCACGCGTGCGCGCGTGCGCCGGGAGGGTCTTTACGCCCATCCGCCCACACCCACGTGGCCGTCGGCTCGGCCGGCACGGCGACGCCGACACGTGCTCGTCGGTGCCGAATAAGGTCGGGCGAGCGCCCAGGGCACGCGGGGTGGGGGATAGGATAAAACGCGAACCGCGTCAAGTCGCGCCGCCACCCCGCCCTCCCCTCCCCTCCCCCACGCCACGGCGCGCCACGGTGATGTAAGCACGGCCGGCTCGGCTCGGCGCGGCGCGCGTGGCTCGGCCGCGCTCGACGGTGTGGTGGCTCGCCTCGGCCGATCTTCCCGTGGCTGCGTGGCGCGGCGCGGCGCGGCGCGGCTTCGCGGTTCAGCCGGCCGGCCGGCTCGGCGTTCGGATCCACCTCGGCCGAGCCGTGCCGAGTCGAGCGGAGCCGAGCCGAGCCGGCCGGCCGAGCCGAGCGGCACCCGACGAGCGACACGACGGGCCGGGCCGGGCCGAGCCGAGCCGAGTCAGTTCGAGTCAGGCCTAAGGCTTCGAAGCCTCGCGCCAACCGGACCGCGCAGCACCGCGCCGCGCCGAGCCGAGCCGCGTCTCCGCACCGCCGCCGCGCTCTTCGACGCCCTCCAGACCGTTGACGAGGACGACGCCGTCCCGGAGGAACAACCGCTGGTGCCGCGAGTGCTCCTTAGTGCCCCTGTGACTTTGGATACCCTCCCGTCGTGCCAGTGTGTGTGTGCGTGTGTGTGTCAGTGAGATCAGAGTCTACTGTCAGTGCCTGCACTGTGTCCAGCCTAGTGCAGGTAATACGAACACCACCTGTGCCTCCAGCAAGTGACCGTGCCCCCCCGCGAATGAATGGTGGGGCCTCAGGCCGCCTCCCTTCAGCCCCTTTAAGAGGCCAAAGTGCTTAATCACCTTTCAGCAGCTCCTTTCGGAGAGTCCTCAAGCATCGGCAAGAAGATTTTACACGTCTTAGCCGCCAATGCCAAGTGCTTAGTCGCCGTTAAGCGCCCTCCAACTCGTCCACACGCATTGAAGGAGCTTAAACGGCACCTTTAAGGTGCTTAAGCGACACCTTTAAGGCCGTTTAAGGCGCTTTAAGCGCACGGAAGTCGCGCTCGGCGTGGGGGCTTCACTCGTGTTCGAGCACGTTCAAGACCGTGAAGCTGGTTGTTCACGGCGCCTGAACGCCTCCGCGCGCCGTGTGCCTACACTTATCAGCTTCACGCTCACGCCACGGGGCCGGCAGAGCCAGGCAAAGTGTGTTTCCTCGAGGAAGCCCAGCGCACCTTGGTCGCGTCCTTGCCGTGTCGCGCGCTGTCATAGCACCTATCTGCAGACTGATTCGCTGTCTGCCTCGCACCTATACGACTCATGAGTGCGAGAGAGACAGAGCGGCTTTGCGTGGGCGTGAACGCGTCGAGCACGCACTGCTACACTGCTACCTGACGAGCCCGCCGGTGATCCGCGGGCCACTACACTGGGTCCGGCCCCGGCCCTGCTGACCGGATGCCCCGAAGCCTTAGGACGTCTGGCCAAGCCGCGCTGAGCAGCGATGCAGCGCGAGCTGCACCGGCCCGATTCTAGCCAGCGTCCGTCCTTAGCGTCCTTAGGGTGCGATGCCCTGGGCATCATGCCCTTCGGAAAGGCACACGGGCGGGGCGGGGCGGGGCGAGGCGGCCTTGGATGGAAGCAACGGGTCTGTGCAGCGTCCTGCCCGCCTGCCCGTCCGGCCGGCTGTCTGCCTGCCGGGCTGTCTGGCTGACTGAGCCGCAGGGCCCGCCCCGCAGGCCGCAGGTACCTCGGGTACCGAGTACCGAGTCCACGGGTACGGACCGGCAACATTCCCAACCGGCGTTTCCGTCCAGCAGGGCCGGCGAGCGAGCCGGGCCACGCCACCGTAAAGCAGTGTCCGGGGACTTCAGACTACTCGGTACTGCATTACGCTGTGTGCGAGGTATTACTTCGGCACGAGTCGACTCGCCGCCTAGAAAGCCTAGTTCAGTAACCCCCACAAGGCGATCCGCCTCGCCTAGAAGCGCGATGGCATTTAGCTCGCGGATCGCGATGAGTCACCACCCAGTCCAGCCGGCGCGGGCGGCGCGGGCGGCGCGGAGGTGGAGGCGGAACCAGCGAACGGGCCAACAAGGGCGTGTCCGAGATCACTCGCCGGGTCAAGCACACACAGACACACATACACACACAGACACACACGCGCGGCGCGCTTTGCGGCAGGGGAGGCACCGCAGCATTGGATTGGTTATCGATCGCGCTCGGATGACTCTGGTGATAAATTGAGCAAACTGGCCTAGTGGCTTCGCAGCGTCGCTGCGCGCGCTGCGCCTGGGCCTGGCGTGCCTTTGCGTGCCTTGGCACCGATCCTACTGGAGGCAGGCCTACTTGGCCACGATAAGCCGCCGCGGCAACAGCTGCGCGCTATGACGCGGCCGACGCGGCTCCGCGGCGACACCCCGCGCGGAGGCACGCCGCCGTAAATACCCCCCCAACGCGTTAATGGCCTTCGTCACCTGATCGGGCCGCCCTTGCCGCGCCGGCCGCCCCGGCGGAGGCCCTGGCCGTGAACGGTAATGGAGGCAAGACAGACGGCGTGTTTGTTGTCGACGGCGAGGTGCGGAGGAGGAATGTTGTCTTGACGGCCCCGCCCGCGGCCTATCAGCAGCGCAGCAGCATGGCAGCAGCGCGTCGACGACTCCCGGGGACGCACCGGGACAAAGGGCCGCTGTGCTGGGCGACGTGAAGCGACGCCCTGTTCGTCGACGGACGGACAGACAGACGACGTGACATTGGAATCACCACGACAGACAGACAGACAGACAGACGGACGGACGGACGGACGGACGGACGGACGGAGACACAGGGGGCGTGGCGTCTCTCTCACCCTTCCTGAGACGCCTTCTGGCCGTCCCCGTCCCCGCCAAGCTCCCCTAGTGCGTCTCGGCTCTGGCGCGCAACCCCTCCGCGGGAAACGAGGCCACGGATGGCGGGGTGGGGCGGGGCGGCGACCGGGGAGCCGTAAACCGGAGTCACCTTCGAGCATCGCCAACACCACCGCCAGCAGGCTGATCCCCAACAGTGCTTTCATCGCCCTGTCTCGCTCGCACTTCCGCGGCGTGCCGTTGCGGTGTGAGAGAGTGAGAGAGACAGAGGACAGCCAGGGGAGGGCCGGACTTTCCGCCCGACTTGTCAGCCTTGTCAGCCCCGCGCTGGAAATAAGTCACGCCGGCCGAGCCCGGGTTCGAGTCCCGCCAGGAGAGACCGTGATTATCCAGCGGCGGCCAGAATTAACCGCGCTTCGCCCCCGCCGCGAGTGCCGACGGCGTGCCCCATCCCCTGCACCGCGAGAGCCCCGCCCCCGTGGCGCCTCGCGTGTCGCCAAAACTCGCGGGGATGGAGTGATGGACTGCCTGACGGCGTCGACGCCGTGGAATTGATATCTCCGAGCGTCCTCTTCCGGGTGCCAGTCAAGCCGCCACAGTGGCGCGGGCTGCCTACCCGGCGCCAAAGGGGGAGGGGGAGGGGCGCCGCGGCACCGCTACCGTCATGTCCGACGACCCGCCGAAAAGTCTCTTCCCGGATGCGCCGTACGTCCCCGCTGCACTGCACACTGATTCCGGCAGTCGTCTCTCTCGCACTCATGCGGCGTCCCGTGTCGGAGCGAGAGAGACAGAGCGACGAAGACGACTCTGTCCTGCCGGCGGACGTGGCGGATGCGGCCCGCGGCGGACGCGCGTACAGTCCCCGTCAAGGTCGCCGTCGTCGTTATGGGTGCCGTACCCGTCCCATATAATCCGCCGCCGCCGCGGACTCCGCGGGCACACCGTTCACGTTGGACCGCCCGGCGGGTGGCACCGCGTTAGATTCCGCTAACAGTGTCGCTCCATCTCTCTCGCTCCCTGACGGAGCACCCCTTGGGTGCGAGTGAGAGGGAGAGAGCCGTGCCTGGGCCTGACGCGGTGCCACGCTTATCGCCGAGGGCTGGCCCTTATCCGAGGCCGCCGCCCTGCAGGGCCCTGCCCGGCCTGCCCCACTCCGTCTGGCCGTCCTTGACGGCGCCCTTTTTGTCGTCCTTGCTCGCGCCGAAGGCTGCACTACACTCTAGACGCGCGTCCCGCCGTTGCGAAAGGCTCGGCCGGGCACGGAGGTACACTGCACGCGCTTCCGGTGCCGTCGCCATCAAAAGCATCAACTCGGACGTAAACTCGCCGATGCCCCCGATGGACTGCGCTGCGCTACCTCCGCCGGGGCGACGCGCACCGCAGCCCGTCCGTCGGATGTGCACGAACGAATAGGTCAAGGTCGGAAACAGTAGTGGGCTGGCCAGAACTAACCGAACAGGCTCTCATACATGTTGCAAGCGGGGAGGGGGAGGGCCCCACCAGGTGTTCGCGTAATAGCAATAAAAGGCCGGGCTTTGGGAACGAGTCCGACCACCACACCGTGTGGCCCAACGCCACGCCTCGCGTCCAAAACCGAGTGTCGCGGCAGAGCCGGGCAGAGCGCAGTTCGACAGGTGCCGCCGAGCCGAACCCCGGGCGAGCTTGGCGGGCGAGCTCGCCGTCGTTGTCGCTCGAGTTCGCGGTCAACCGGTCCAGCAATGCGGAGCTGGCCCCACGCGAGGGGAGTCGTCGTCGGCGGCGTGCCGCACAGGTAGCCACTGCGAATAGTGACGCTGCGGTGGTGACTGCGAATAGTGCTCTGGGATGACGCGAGAAGAGTCTGTGCCGGCCGTGGGCCGTGTGTGTCCTTAACGACGAGCGCGGCGGCGCGACGGGCCTTCCTGTAGTCTAATCAAGGACATTAAGGCCGTGCTCTTGCATGCGGGTGGCGGCGGCCGCGAGGCCGTGCAGTGTGCACTCTTGGCGGCGTCGGACGACGACGACGACGTGATGCTCTCCCCGTCCGAGGCGGCGTCGGCTACGCCCGGTCAACTTGTTGCACAGGACACACTGGCTTTCGCATGCTTCGCAGCGGTATTTCGAAATTCATGGCTAAAGTTTGGGGGGCCGGCCCCGGGGGCTTGGTGCGTCGGGACTTCCCCGCCGTGGACCTGAGCTGAATTATGGATCCGCCCCTGCCGGCCGACCGTCGGGCCGTCGGGTCGTCGGAGGACCTGCTGCGCAACGAGACGGGCCACGTGCGCAACAGTCGCGACACGCGTGTGCCACTACACTGCAGACCACGGGACGAGGCGAGGCAGTGTGGGTGCACCCCGTGGACGTTGGCGCCGTGCCTGTGCCTGCCGCGCCTGCCGCGCCGCAGTGTACTGAAGCGCCTCGTTTTGTTTCTTTCGGTCTTGGCAGAGGGAGAGCGTGCCTCGATTCATGTGGGGCAGGGTCAGGGAGTGCTCGGCGTGCTCGGTGGCGACCAGGAAAAAGGAAGAGGGCTCGTCGTCCTGCGGGACAGTCATTCAGTGCGGTTTGTCTGTCTGTCTCTCTCGCTCCCTTATGGAGAGCGCCGTGAGTGCGACAGAGACAGGAAGCGCCGGGCGCCGCTCCATCTGGCGATGCTGGCGTGTTCCCCAGGGAAGAGGGAAGGCGACCGGGTCGCTAATTGGATTAAACCGACAGCGCGTCGGACCGGCGGCAGCGTCTCTTTCCTTGCCGCAATCTAGAATGCGCCTTTGTTGTGGGACGCTCCCGTTTCTGCCAGAGTGCCGGACTGCCGAGCTTTCGGGGGGATTTCGGGCGGGCCGGGCGAGCGGACGGCGAGCAGGCAGACGGACCGACACCAATTATTGCAAGAAGAAGTGAATCCCGCCGCGTGATGAGACACTAATGGCTGTAATGATGATGACCGCCGGCGCTCTGTCTCTCTCGCGGCGCTCGGGACGCCCCGTGAGTGCGAGAGAGACAGACCTATCAGCCTCCCCGCTGCAGGCTCCGCACGCGTGCACGTGCAGCGCTGGCTGCGGGGCGCGAGTGTCGGGTCAGCCGGTCTGTGTCTTCAGTTCCCGTTTTCGAATCGCGCGAAAGCGACGTGTCTTGTCTAGGAGTCTAGAAGACGCCCCGGTAGTCTAGGCGACGCCCCACTGCTCTAGACTCTAGGGTCTAGGCGTCGCCCGCGAGGCGCGCTGGCTGTCGCTTGGCTGTCGCTGGCGCTAGCGTGCTCTAGCACTGGCCTATCTGGCGTCGCTAAAAATACGCGGCGCTGCAGCGCGGGGAACTACGCACGAAAAACATGAGGCGGGGCGGGGCGGGGAATTAAAAGAAAAAGGCGTTCCGAAATGGAAAGGAGAAGGAATTCATCAGCGGGGCGGGCCGGCCGGCGGCGTGTAGCGGCAGCACGGCGGGATGAGAGCCGCAACTAACAACCTCCGCCATTGTACGTACCGAGGGCCCTCCGGGTGGCGGGGGCGGGGCGGGGCGGGGAGTACTCGGAAGGGAAGGGCGTCATGCTCCACAGCCTTTCATTACAACAAAAATGAGTGTCGAAAAAGGACGACAACATCAACGAAAACAAGGCGGTGCATTGTCTGGAGGCATAGGTGGCGCGCTCTCTCCGGTTAGGACTGACGACTACTGTGTTGCTGTGTTGTCACTTGGCGGCCTTTGCGCCGCTTTGCACGAAGCGTCGAGGCGCGGCCGGTCTGCTTCAAAATGCGCTCTGGCTTCGCCGGCCGGCCAATCCTGCGGCTTCCGTTGCGGTGCAGCGGGCGGATTCCGATTGCACGGTGCTCCGTCTCTCTCGCACTCGTGGGGCGTGCCGCAGAGGTGCGAGAGAGACAGCGATGGAGCTGTTCGTTCCACCGCCGCGCCAGGAACGGAGATTATGTCACGACCGGACGGCCGGCAGAGCCACGGCGCCGCGGCGGCGGACGGCAAACGACAAATAGCCCGAATGTTGGTGTGTTGGAGTGGCGGCGGCGATGGCATTCGGACCGCGATGTCAATGTGGACGTGAATGGCGCGGTGTGCAAAACGAACGGGGACGCGAACGTGAATGTTGATGTAAATGTGGAGACTGACACGACGCGCCCAAGGACGGGTTCGCGGTGACGTCAGCCTGGCGGCGTGCCATGCAGGCCATGCAGGCCGGGACGGTGGTCGGTCGTGGCCCTCATGGCGGTGGCGGGGAACGGAACACTTACCCCGTGCACTGAGCACTCCGCGCCTGCCTCTCTCGCACTCATGGAGAGAGAGAGAGAACGCTTCGGACAAGCTGCCGGCCGGCGGTAGGCGATAGAGGGACGTCTGGCCAGCCTCCGCTGAACAGCCACTCCGATCGGACTAGCCTGCTCGGCCTGCTTGGCCCCGACCCTGAGCGCCGCCCTGGCCTCGCCCTCCAGGCCGTACGCGTGCCGCCCCGCTGCCCCGCGCTCCGTCAACAAGAGGGCAGTCTTGACTGCGGAGCTATTTCAGGAATCCGTCAGCCATTAACCGACCCCCTGGGACCACCGCCGCCAGTGCCCCAGCCCTGCAGGCTGCAGGCCGGCCTGCGTAATTTATTTACTCTCCGTATTGACTCGGCCGGGAAGTGCATTTCCAAAGGGCGGAGAAGCCTTGAGCGTTTTTACAAAGTCGGGGCGGTGCGCGGTGTTCGGTGAGCGCGCCTCCTCGCAGCCGTGGCGGCAGTCAGGCTTGTGATTGGCTGCGTTCCAAAGCGGCTCCGTTTGCCCTGCAGGGAAAGGAGAGTGTGAACCGTGTGCGCCTGGCGGGGCGACACAACACATTAACCGCAAATCCCCAGCCCGCCTGCCTGCAGGGCGAGCAACGCTTAAAAAAATGTTTTATTTTTATTTTTATTTTTTTTGTGCTAATTTTTTCAATCTTTTTTTTGTGCAGTGCCGCTGGGGCGGACCGCGTCCGCGTCACGTTCTTCGAGTCCTCCAAGCCGCAAGTGGTGGAGGGCAGTGACGTGCTCACCCCCGACGCCCTGGACGCGCCGCTGGGCGCCATGGCGGCGGACACCACCCACGGCTACCACCGGCAAAACAGGTAAACGCGGCGACGCCATGAGCAGGCCGTCGGGGACCGATTCCGAGAGTCGTTTTCGTCGCTTGGGCCTCCTAGGCGCGAGAGAGACAGAGCGACTCTCGGAATCAGTCTGCAGGGGAGGGGAGTGCGTATTTTGTTCCGGTCTGGCGGTATCGCCACACCCTTACCATGACGCCGTGGTGGCGGTTCCGAAGGGAGCGCAGCGAGCGCTTGTCGACCAGGCCGCCGTCGTGTACCTGTAGGCCTACAGTGCAGCAGGGGGGGAGGGTCATTCGTTTCGTGTCTGCCGAGCGAAGAGCTCGAAGGACGCGGTGAGTGCGACAGAGACAGAGCGACGGCTGGGCGCGCTGCGCGCTGGCCGGATGTGGACGCCACGCTCCCCCTTTCCCGTCGTGTCCACGAGTGCGTGCAGTTCGTGCAGCGGGCTGATGGTACCGTTGAGCCGTGCGGCGCGCTTCTATCCGCGCTATCCCCTCGCCTATCCCCCTATCATCGCGCGGCGCGCATCGCGCAGCACCGTTCTATCCGCCGTTCGTCATCCCAATCGGTTTACTTTGCGTCGGCCGTCGGCGCCGTGGGCCCATTCCCATTATCGTCTGGCACGTTAGCGGGCGGGGCGTGCCACCATGCGTGCCGCGTGCCGCGTGAGGCCGCGGCAGTCACTGACTCGCTTGAGTTGGCAACGCTGTCGCCGCCTGCCGCCCGAGTTGGTGAGTTGGTGCACCTGTGGGGTGGGAGGGGGAATCACTTTCACTTTCCCCTTAATGACGGCACCCCGAGGGGTGGGGCGGGGGGCTTCTCGCGGGGGTGGCGGGGCGCTGCTCGGGGTGAGCTTCGGGGTTCGAGCTTCGAGGCAGCAGGGCAGTGCCTCTGGCCGTCGTGCCGTCACGCACCTCGTGGGTGCGGAGCAGTGCGGGGCAGAAGGGTGGTCGTGGCCGCACCGAGAGCAGCAGATAAGACGAGGGTGTCTCGCGCCGCGCCTCGCGCGTCTTGGCGGGGGCGGCAGGCCGCCGCGGGGGCGGCTCGCAGCGTGGCGGTGGACAGTTCGTCGCCAGGCTCCGCCGCCCCCACCGCCCCTCCTGCAGCGCCATGGCGGCCCCCACCTTGCAGGCCACTGTATCGACCAATGCGCGCGCAGCCGGGGCGTTCCACGGGCGGGCTGGTGGGGCGGGGCGTGGCGGGGCCCACTGAGCCCCAGGCCCAGCTCAGTTGGCGTCGCGGCGCTGAGCGTCGTCCAGCGTCGTCCAGGCGTCGTCCTGGGTGGTGGGTGCCGCGTCGAGTCGCGCCGCGCAGGCCGCGCACCGCGTCGCGTCAGGCCTCTCTCTCTATCTCCCTGTCTCCGTCTCTCTCTCTCCCTCGCGGCGGGGCGGGACGGGTGCACTCCGCCCCGACTGCACGTCGCCCTGCAGCGGGGCAGTCGGCTAAGGGTGCCACTGTGCCCGTGTGTTTACCCGCGCTGTGTGTGTGTGTGGTGTTTGTGTGTGTGGCGGCAAGGGGCGCCCTGCGGCGGGGCCCCTCAAAGTGAAAGGAAAACCAGTTTTGGGGATCGGGGTGTGGTTGCACTGTACTGTACAGGCCGCGCAGGCCCTGCAGGGCGCACGCCGCGCGCAACCACCGCGCCACCGCAGATCGCGTGCGGGGCCTTGCAGTGCAGGCGACGCGCGGCACGCGACACGCACGCCAGCGGCACGCGCCACCTCACTGTCTATCCTTGTTTGTCGCGCGCCGCTCGAAGGAGACGGCCTGCATGGAGTGCTGGCGGTGCTGGCGCATTCTGGCCATTCTGTGGGGCCCGGGTGAGGGTTGTGGTCGCGCGGGTACCACTGCGCCGCGCCAGTCGCGCGCCTCTAGCTTCGATCTAGCCGCCCGACGCCTGCACGTGCAGCAGACACACACTCGCACACACACAAACACGCGTCAAGCCCGCGTTAGCGTTTCTCCCGGCCGTGCTGTCAAGGTCGGGCCGTCATGTGGGCCGGTGCTGCTGCTGCGAATAAGCACGGTGCATGTGTGGACCAGACAGCCCGCCAGGCGGACAGACAGCCACTCCACCGCTACAGTGTGTTGCTGCTGTACAGCGAAAACCCCTCACCGCGTGATGGATAGTGGAGGGGTAGCTCTGGCGGTGCGGCACTGCACCCGGAAACTCCGGTCCGTCCGGGGCGGCCTTGGTGCGCGCGGGTTGGTTCGCACCTCCCCCTCCCCCTCCCCTCCCCCGGTCGCCTCTCGAAGTCTCGAAGCAGCAGTGTTAGCGCCTCGCAGCTCGGCCAGGCCGCCAGGCCAGTGATGCGAGCCGTTCCGACGTTCCGTTCACGCGATGCGGCTTTTAAGTACACAACCCCACGGAAGCGGCCAGCTCAGCAGCCGCCCGCGCCCTGCGCGCGTCGGAGCGTCAGCACGTCGTAAAGAGAGAGAAAACGGGGCAAAATGACGACGGCCGGAAGGGGGATCGAACCCGGGTACTCGGTATTGACCGCTCGCGTCCGAAGCCACTGCGCCACGGCGCGGGGCTGCAGTGCGCCGGTCTGGCCGGCCCAGCGGCGGGGTGGCTGGAGAACTAATTGCTGGCTTCCGCCAGCGCCTGCGCCTGCAGGCCGCCTCCGAACAATGTAGCTCTGTCTCTCTCGCACTCGCGGTGCGCCCCATGCAGGTGCGAGCGAGACAGAGCGAGGAGGTCGCTTCTGCTGCTGCGCCCTTTGCTTTCCCACGGGTGCACGCTAGTCCACGCTAGTCCACACTGGTGCAGTAAACGCCCCGGCGGGCTGGCCTGCCCTGGCCTGCCCTGGCCGGGGCCGCGGACGTCCTAATGATGACGGGTATGCTGCCTGTTGAGCGCCAGTTAGTGTGTTAATGGGTTGGCGGGGCGGGGCGGGGCGGTCGCGAGCTGACAGCGCGATAGCGATTCACATTTCCATTCGACGCCCCGTGGTCGGCCTGCCCACAGCCTGCCGGTGTGGTGTGCCGGTGTCCCGATTAAGGTGGCAGAGAAAAACAAACTGACAGCAGCAGGCCGTCGGCTGGCCGCCACCGCAGTTCGAGGAGACCGTGACCCTGTGGCTGCCGCCGAGGGCCGCCGACTACCGACTCGGTGGCAGGAAAAAGTTAAACGAAGTGCCATGGCGGTGGCGGCGGCTCGACGGCGGCCGCGCCCATCCAGTACGCGCTGGTGTTCCCCGCTATTGTCCGGCGGCGGGCCGCGGCGGGGACGACGAGGTGTGGGCGGGCAGACGCGCCCTGTACTGCGCAATGCGGCCGTCTGTCTGTCTGTCTGTCTGTCTGTCAGTCGGTCTGTCAGTCTGACCGGCTGGCCGGCGAGCGGACAGACCGGTTGACGAGCTCTAAAGCCACAAATATTGTGCCGTCTGGGAGGTGACGTGACGTCAGTGTCGAAGAGGTGAACGGAGGGAGAGAGAGAGAGAGAGAGACAGAGGGGGCGTTGGAGTGAGAGAAGCAGACAGTGAGTGCGAGAGTGTGGCTAGGGCTGCGAGGATGCCGTCAACCCCCAACAGCCATGGAGGCATCCTGTACTACGTGGTCACCGTACCCAGGGAGTCCAAGCCGGAGCACGACAAGAACAGCATCGGCCCGCTGTCGGCGTCGTCGCCCGGGACGCCCGCCGCGCCGCCGAGGTTCGTGTCTTGAAGTGCGGCCGTCGCCGTCCGGGCAGCGCGCCGTCGCGGTAGGCAACCCTGCCTCCGGCACGCGTCCGTGCGCAGCACAGTGCCTATGTGCCGGGCGCTCCGTAGAGCCGCCAGGGCTGCGGGCTGCGCCCAGGCTGCGCGCAGGCCGTCACCTCGCCTGACATTTCGCTCTCGTTAAAGCCCCTGAATGTCACGCGGGACGCCCGGCCGGCCAGCCCAGCCCCGCCCGGGGGATTTGGAATTTGCATCAGGGCTTTTCAAAAAGCGGGCGCGCCTTGTGTTTCCGCCTTGTTGTGGTTGCTGACGAGGGCCTTGTTGTGTTGCAGCACCGACAGCGGCTGGGACAACCCGTTCCGGCCGGACGGCGACCTGAGCCGCGAGGCGGACGAGATCGTGGAGCTCATCAAGGGCGGCAAGCCCATCACCACGCCGGCCAGCGCCGCGCCCGGCAGCCCCGGCCACAACCCCCTCGCCGGGGACTCCCTCAAGGCGCAGCACTCGGTGAGCGCGCTGTGGCGTTGTGGGCGCGGGCCCCGCTTGCCGCGTACCGGGTGACGCGTGCGCGACGCGTTGGAGCGGCCGGAGCATGCTGAGCACCGGCACGGAGTGCACGGAGTCGCGGCGGACGCGCGGAGGCCAGTAGACTGACCCAACCAGAGCTTTCGTCGCTCTGTCCCTCTCGCACTCAGGGGAGAGGCAGAGCGACGCGACCCTGTTCGGAGCCAGAGTGCTGTCGTCGAGCAGGCTCTTAAAGGAGGCGAGGGAAAGGGTAGAGCCACCTCCCGTGGGGATGGAGTTCGAGCCCAGGGCAGTCCTATGCTGCGTTAGAGGCTCGGCGCCTGACACATGGAACTGACCTGGGTTCGAATACCAGAATCCGACGAGGTGGTTCCCTTTTTTCCTTGCCTGGGTCCTCTTGCGCTGCTGTCCCGTGCGCGAAGTGCTCGCTGCGAGGGCTGTACTACTTTGGCCTTAAGGACTGTATACTTGAGCACGGAGGTGGACTGTTCGGTGCATTGCGGCTGCATGGCCTGAGATTATTTGCATGCGGGTGTCGGCCATGTCGTTGTCAGTTCTTTTCTTGCGTTTGCTTCACGGTGTTGATATTGTTGATATTCCTTTCGTTTTACTCTTGTCTTTTGAGATTCACTGAGTATGTAAGAGAGTCGAGGTGGCGGCGTTTTCTAGCGTCTTCTTGACTGTCGCGCACACTGTTGGATTTTACCATTGTTGTGTACATTCGTAGATATCTCTGTAAGCACTTTGTTTTAAACTCACTTTCTATGTAGTCTCTAGAAACGTAGTTTTTGTCCAGTTTTCAGTTTACTTGATACTGAATGGGCAGTAATGTAAAAGTTAGCATTTCGGTGTTGTTGGTGCATTATTTTTATTCAAGTTAAGTCGTTATTGTTTTAATAAGTTGTTTCTTGAACCTTAGCATATGCATGGGTTAGTGTACATGGATTAAGTTGTACATGAATGTAAATTGTATTTTTATCCTTGTTAGATTCACTAACGGTGATAACAGTCATGTTACATAAACTAATTTTTTGCACAAGGTTCATCTCAGCTAGGCCTGAAGATGATTTTTTAAAAAAGTATTTGTTATATTTGGCAGGTTGTGATTTGTGATTGTAACGTTTAATAGCTGCTGCAAATTTGTAAACCCACGCTTTTGTATATTGTACACAGTGTACTGTTGGACTCTGTTTGGAATTTCAGCACTGTATTTTGAGCTTCGTGTGGTTACGTATTTTGCATGGCTCTTGGTTTTTTTCTCTCGTTTTTAGCGCTCTATTTGTTTTTTTCCCCGCCTCTCCACAAAATACATATTTAAAATAATAAAGTGATCACAAGTCCCCCCCCCCAGAATTCCCTCCAGCTGGCGTGTCGCTTCACCAACTTTCTTTGTGGCTTTTGTGGAATAAAGTTGAGCTCTTGTTCGAAAATGACTTCTGTACTTAACTCTTTGCGGGACTGTGTGCTTTTTGCAAACAAATTCTTTGTTCCTGAGCGACCACCGGAGTGAGCCGGGGATCGTCGACGCGCCCAATGGGCAGTGCAGTGCCCATCCATCGAGACTCCGAGAATAAAAGCTGTAAATACATACAGAGCCTTTTCCTAACAATGTTCGGTGTTATCGGTAGTGCCGACGTGGTGGATGGCCTTTGGTTCTGACGCCGCACTAACCAGAATGTAGACACGAGGTAAGGTGGCGAGAACTAACTTTCCGAGGATCGATGCTAGAACGAGTTGCGCTACATATCGTGACCGATACCCATACTGCTTTTCCTTTCTTTCTTTTTTCAGTAGTGTCATGGTTTTTCTTAGCAAAATTTTCGATCCAATGAACTTTTATCTTGCACTGAGCTGTCAATGTTTTAGGGGTCGTCCTTAAACCACGATGATGATTGCATGATCCGTCATCAAAGAGGTCTGTGGCTTCAAGGGTTTGGTTTTGGCGTTTTGGTAGACCTGTTACGTGGTTTCTGGACGGTGCCCGGGCTTGCTTGTTTTTCCTTGGTGCATAAGCTAACCAGTGGGCGAGGGAGAAAAACACTAACGGGCAGCAGGTTGCAGCAGGTCGTCAACTAACCGCCGTTTTTCGTTTCTGTTTCTCTGATTGGCAGTCCCCCGTGACGAGCACGCCGCACAAGAACGGGCAGAACGGGCAGAACGGCGCGGCGGCCGCGCAGGCCAAGCCGGCCGGCAGCGTGGACGTGACGCGGGGCACGGTGACGGGCGGGGACCAGGCGCAGGTCGAGCACATCACCCTCAAGAAGAAGCCCAAGTGCAAGTGCTGCATCGTGCAGTGAAAACGAGTGAACCGCAGCCAAACGCCTCCGCTTCGCCACAAATTCAACATTATTTTTCCTACGCAAAAAAAAAAGAAAGAAAGAAAAGTCCATGTCGAATATTTGTTTTTGTGCCGACGGCAGTAGTGTGTTCGTGGTGTCGTCTTGTGTGTGCGTGTGTGATGGTCGGTGGTTCTGGACCGGTTCGTTCTTGTTGGTCGACGACGACTAGGAGAGGACCATTTTATTTTTTTTATGCTGAAGACTGTGTTTTCGGCCCCCTGCGTGGGCCCGAGATGGAGCGGCCTGAGCCAGCCTGTGGCTGTGGCCGGTGGAGTGCCTGGCCTGCCGGTGCCTGGCGTGCCTGGCCTCAGGGATGGGGTGGGCGTAGTCGGCGTAGTCAGGACGCGCGACGTTGGCCCGTTGGCCGCCTGGGCCTCGGCGTCGCTCGGCGTCGCTCGGCGTGCACCCCGCGTGCACGCGCCCGACCGGCCTGGACACTTGCCCACGGAGGCCCCACCCTGTGATAACGTGATACACCCCCCTTTGCTTTGTTTTTAACTTATTTATTATTACTATTATGATTATTATTGTTTTTCTTCGTACGAGGCGTAGTTGTAATTTACACGTTTTTTACGCAATAATAATGATTTGGTCAGTGCTTGCCGGACAGGCTGGTTGTCTGTGATTACGCCAAGGGGCGTGGCTCGGCGCGTCCCTACCCCCTGTCGCGGGGAAGCCCTGGGCGCCCCGGGCGCGGGGTAGCGCCGTGTCGAGGCGGCGTGGCGCGGCGTGGCCGATGACAGGGGTGGAGCGAGGGCCTTGTCGGCAAAGCGAGTGTGTGTATGTCTATGTGTCCGTGTGTGAGTGCGTGTGAGAGCGTGAGTGAGAGTGTGAGTTGCAGTTGAAAGAAAGAGAAGTAAGTGTCTCGCGTCAATGCCATTTCGGTTGAGGTGGAAAAAAGTGAAGCCGACACGATATGCGTGGCGGGCAAAGCGATGAAAGAGGAGAAAGAGTGAATTGAATGATGAGACTTTTGTACAATGTTGAGCCTGCTAAGTAAGAAGAGTCTTTTAGAAGCCGTTACCTCAGTACTTCCTATTCTGCTGTAGACTGATTCATTTTCATTATTCGTGCTGTACCAGTCTCTATTATTATCACAGAGATATTATTCCGGATTCGGATACCTCTTGTATTGATTTTGCTTGAACCTCAATGTACTGCGGAATTCCCTTAAAATATCAACTACGGCGTTACTATGTATGTCGCTATGCTGGTAATTTAGGACCATGGGCCAAGATGAATTTTTCAGACAAACCTATATTTTATTCCTTGATGACTTCTATGCTATCGTAGCGCAGTCATATTGCAGAGCTACTTGTCAAACGCAATTCGCGTCATCTTTCTATTTTTATTTATTTTTTGTCCTAATGTTCTGCGAATGTGCTTAAACTCCCATCAGTTTCTTGTCACAGTCAGGGAAGACCCGGCTGCTGGCAATAGTTTTTTTTGTTTTAATTTTTTTCCGAAGCCAAAATGTTTATTATTGTTATCTTATCTTATAAATAACGATACATTTAAACAAATTTAGTTGATCCCACCAATGAAGTTAATAGTACGACGCCGCCTTTGCGTAGTTGTGCACCAAGAGGCTACGCTCGTTACGGTGCTGGACTGATGTTTGTTTCCGACCCTATAGGTATCGGGGTGGTTCCACAGTGGTTCCACAGTGGTTCCACATTGGTCCCACTGGGGGCGGAGGGGGAGAGTCGTTCCCTTGGCAGCTGTTTTGTGATAATATTTGCCCCAGTTCTGGTCATACTAGCCGGGAGTCACCACGGCACCTCCTCCAACCGCCCCGCGCCCCGAGGTAAAAAATCTTAGGGGGAAAAGAAAAATATGACATTGAAACGGTTTAAACTAGAATTTACCTCTGCCTCTATTTTAAAATTGTATGGTGTTTAATTGTAATACAAAATATTAATTAAAAACAGTTTTTAACTTATTCGAGAGATATCTGCATTTTCTTTGATCATCATCACACCCCGTCCGTTTCCAAATTAACTAAATACTGTAACTAAAAATAGTGTGGGATGTGTGAACAGCATCTGAGCATTTTTATTATTAGATGCCTTGAGCAAAGTAAAAGGAAGCATCCCTTTCAAAAATCGAGCATGGTGTTGGAATTGGTTTACCATAGACCTAAACTCGATCCACCAGATTCTACAAGGATCTGACAGCTGTTTTATTTTGAGATGTCTTTGGGGTAAATTCGAGTAATGCCTCTCATTGATATTTTATCACCTTTTAAGTAGTGACTGCTGTCCTGTCATGCTACCTGTGTCTGTCTGTTTGTATCAATCTGCCCCCTGTCAATGTTAATGGCAGATCATTAGAGCTTTTCTTCCAACAACCTGCTGTTGGAAACCGTGGTTTACTCAATAAAATTTTTAAAATACGGAAGTGAAGCTCTTTATAGCTGCATCTTCGTGTCTCTTGCCATGTATTTCACTCTTGATTTTCTACTGGATTTTTTTAAAATCTTAATATGTGGTTTAGTCCTGGACTGGGCCTTTACATTGACATGGTAGTGAAAGACAGAATATCCTTCCAGCAGGTGCAGTGGCGTGCGCAGAAATTTTGAAAGGGGGGGGTCGGGCCATGCTTTTTGCCTACTTACAGGGGGAAAGTACCGCAATTTGCCTACCTTCCAGGCGGCTGTCTAGTGGCCAAAGGGGGGGGTCATGACCCCCCTACCCCCCCCCCTGCGCACGCCACTGAGCAGGTGGTCCTTCCGCCTACCCATATTTACTCAGAATTTTTACTCAAGGACCCCCTTAGGATAATGTGCAGATGTTCAAAGAGAGAAACAGAAAGAGAGAGAATCCAGCCTGTTTCAAGCAGACTTTTGCCATACTTTAACTTGGCTTTCCTAGGCTAGAGTCCTAGACTCTACCCTGGGCCTAGCTATTTTGCACACATTGCCAAGTTGTCGCTGTATTGATTATCACAGCAAAAGATATTATGAATGTCTTTTTTTTTGTTGGCATAATCAAGACCCTCCGATTTATTTTTTCATCCTGTTTTCCTGAGTGTTTGTTTGCCCTTTGATGCGCACGCCTTGCTGGCATGTAGCTATTAGAGGAACAAAGGGACACGCATGACTCAACAAGTTAACTTGTCAAAGAATAGATTATTTATTTTTCATACTGCATTGTAATGCTTACAATTGAGGGAAAATTGGTCCCAATCCTTTTATTAAATTAAAATCTTAGTGCAAAACTGATATTATTATTACTCTAAACTATTATAACAGGAGAAACCATTGTATAGCAACATAATGTACTTTCTTAGGTCTCTTTGTCCACAACAAAATGGTGCATTAATTTTTCATGTGTAAATAGAACTGGTGTACATGTACAGCAACCATTGTCTAATTTCAAACAAAATCCGTATCATAAACACCACCCAGTTGCTCCGCTTTAACCTCAAGTTTAACAGTGCCAGCAGCTTTATAGCGATCAACTGTCCTGCTCAAATGCGAACCCTCCCAATACACTTTTCCACAATGAGCACAAACGTAAAACACTTGTATCCTCCTGATAACGTCCTCTGGAATAACCTCTATCTGCAATGACAAATAAACCTCATGAACTAAAGATATAATCACTAATGACAAGAGAAAAAAAATTTGAGCACAAACTTACATCAATCTTGGTACCTAAGTGTGTTTGGCCTGTCCTAGCACACTCATCGTTATCAGTCAAATTCCAAGGCCTTGGTTCAGGCAACTCTCCCTTTTCTTTATTTTCGTTTTTCAACTTGGAATCTGCAGAATAACTAGCAGTTGAAGCTGTTGCTGTTGTTACCCCCCTGGAACAAGGGTCCTCCATTCCTAGAGGAGGCAGCCTTGCAACACGGACCATAGTATCCTGTCTAACTCTATCAAAATCATTGCTGTTGCAAACCTGTTACACAAAATTCAATCAAAAACCAGCGAAATAAATTTGATAAAATCAAACTAAAATACAGTATTCATAACATAGCTAATTTTCTACTGACCTGACAACGGGAAAATATGTCAGTATCAAAAACTATAATGCCAAAGTGATCAAGCACTTCCTGAAGTTGATCGCTGGCAGCGGATGACTCAACACAGTAAACCGATTCAGGGCACAGATGACTCTCAAACTATATGAAGTAAATTTGATTGTATAATACTCTTATAGAAGTTTCAGTAAATATTTGCAAAGGTTTAACTTGCATACCCAATCAACATTGCTGCCTTGAGACAGGACGATCCTCTCCTCTTTTGTAATATTTTCAAGAATAGTATTTGCTTCCTCACTTTGCTTCTTTCTGATTGCTGCTTCCAAAATTAAGCAGTCAATACCACACCGACGCAGTTGCCGGCCTAGTCCACAGAGCATCACATCTGCCACAAACTTCAGAGTAGAAACGCCTCGAATCTCCAAGCCATCTAACCCTTCTTCCTGTGAAGCAGAGTAAGAAGGACCAATCCAAATATAAAAATTCTTTTTTTTTATTAAAGAGCCAACATTTTTAAACTGTGGTCACAAATTGAAATTTTACTCAGACATCAATTAATTTGAAGTGTCTGCTGTGGAGCAAATAAGAATAAATGGTTCAACTAAAACTCATAGAAATTATGTAAACTTTTATTTGGTGTAAAAAAATACTATACACTTGTTTTGGAACTATAAAAAAATAACACTCTTAACTTTCAGTCATCACAATCTGCATAGCAAAAGTTATTGCTAGCCACTGGCACATAATTTAATCACCAGTCCTGAGAGAAAATTTGTACATTTGACAGAGTCAAATTGAGGCTGCCATAAATTTTGGGCCTCCTATATATAAGATAAAGTAGAAACTCTTACTTTACTTCAATTTGCAGCAAATCAAATTAATCCATAAGTCTATAATATGCTGGCTATAATGGTCTTAAAGCATAAAAGAAACAACTGTTTCCCATTATACAAGAGTGAACACAGATAGTCAACCTGATTGAAATACCCTTTCATCCTTACAAAGAAACAGTAAAAAGCTTTGGTAGGGCTTAAATCAGGTAGAAGACTATTCTATCCCAAGCTGTAAAAGTATTGATAGAGAAAGTAGTGGTGTAATCATAACACCCCAAGCATCATTTGATTTAGAATAATAAAATTAAAATTGCTAACATAATACTTTACAATTTGGCATAAGAACTCCATCACAAAAAGTCCTGTTCCAATTCACCTCCAGAACAAGGCTGCACAAGTCTTTACCACTACAGATCGCAACCACACCTCTGTTTGCAGAAAACAAGACCATTCTTGTTGCAGCCGAGAATCTGTATAATCTCAATCTTGCTGCAAGCATGATTATGGTAATGGTAATAATTAGATGGTACCCATACGTAGTGACTTCATTTAGTAATTAAGACTTAAATCAGGAGATTAAATTGCGTAAACAACAATTAATCTTGGCATGTACCATAGAACTAAAGTTAACATGAAGAGTAAAATTATAAAATATTTAACGCTTGAAGTAGAATTAGTATATTTTCACCCAACGAAAATCAAAGGAGACATACCCTCTAAAGCAATAGATACAATTATTATGATTATTATTATGGATCAATCCTCAGCAAAATCTATCATCACCAACAGACAGTAACACTTAGAGAAATCATTGTTTTCCACATTTTTGTATCAAATTAGATCTCCATGAGAGCACTGTGATAATGAGATCACAAAAGCCTTCACAGTACAAACTTCTGAATATTTCATTTTTTTGTAGCTTAACAACAATGGATCACACTTCTTCCCTATCACAGAAAATGAATCAGAATTGGGATTGACTCAACAAACATCAGACTTTGCAAGAATAAATAATATTGTACTATCAATTGAAATTTGTGTTAGCAAAATTAAATTCTTATATGTCTTCAATACTAAAATATTGTTGGGCCATAATAAATTTCATGAAAGTAAAATGAAGAAAATAAAAAGGTCTTCAATGACAAGTGCTTACTACCTATATAGAACAAACTACCCAAAAGATTTAAATATCCAGGTCTTTTAAAAGTAATATCATTAAAATAACCCACAACATGGAAAATGACGAGATTCCATTAGATTTTTCTTACAGTAATATCTAATTACAATCAAGTCAAGTCAAGGTTACCGTGGTCAAACAAGAACATGGTTAAAATCAAACAACAAATTTAAACAATTAATGATAAAACCGTACCTGACCTTGGCTGGGCCCTTGGCCAGGGTTGGGTTTGCCACCAGGGGGGCGCCTTCCTCTTCCACGCCCCCTTCCTGAAGAAGCATAATTTTTCTTCGGCGATCTGAATTCCATGATAATTTCATCACAAATCTCTAGGAACGGGAGACCCTGTTCATTGGCTAGTTTCTTCATGTCTCTGTATAGCTCTAGCAAGCAGAAAGCATCTAAAGCTGGAATAAAGAAAAACATCATGAAAGTATTTAAAACATGAGTGAGTAATTTTAGAAGAATAAGAAGAGAAGAATAAATTACCAGCATAGCGCCTTTGGCCAGTTCTCAGAGGTCGCTGTTCCCAGTTGGAAAACTGATCTGACTTATCAAGGCATCGGCCAAAACATAAAGATACAAGCTTTGACAAGCTTTCACCACCAGAATTTGATTTATCTGCAGAACAAATTATCATAAGAGAAGCTCATAGTAATTAGCTAACAAAAAATAAGAAGAGAAATGTTTACCAGGATATGGGAAAGTCATTCCTTTGTTTTGTAGACAGCGCCACAACTGCGACAAGTCCAAATACCCTGAACCAGTACGTTTCAAATTTGCAAGAGGAGCAATTGCTGATCTAATCATTGCCAAGTCCGTGCCCATACTGAATCCTGGAGAAATGTGCATAAGGTTGAAATTATGGATCAAACAAGGGCTTACGAAAAAAGTCCATACTTATATTTATGCTTACCCAGCTTCAGAATTGAAGGGTTTTCAAAGAATAAACTACACGCCTCCATCCACACCTCAGGAGGAAGGCATAACATTCCAATTACATCCAAAATGAAAATTCGATCCCATGTTGCGAGCTGAATTAGAGAGAGTTCATTTTGCTGTGCTCCAAAAGCTGGTTTCCATTCTGAGTCAATGCCAACAATTTTACACTCATGATTATTAATGAAGAGCAGACATTCTCTAAGTGACTCCTCTGAATCCACCATCACAATTGCAGAGTCTGGCAGAGATAAGGAATGAAACTGATTGCTATCATTCCAGTCTTCTTGCTGCTGCTCTTCCGGGGAATTTGGCCTTGGAAATTCGTGTCTACAGAAGATTAAAATTGAAATTAATCGAACAAGGTAGAACAGGAAAGGAAAATGGAGCCCCAAATGCATAAACATACCTTGCAAAGGGATTCTGTTTTAAATGCTCTTTGACATTATAGGGCCACTTGTGTTGGGGTATATTAAATTCCATGGCCCAATAGAAAGCCTCTTCTACTTCATTATAATTATTGAGCATCACAACCAACTCAATCTGAAGGTCCTTGGAATCTTTTACAGCATCATACGCCATCTCTTTCCAGCTGTCCAGGCCTAAATTGAGAAAATCGAGGAAAACATGAATCAAAATGTGGAAATGAAAGGTATAATTTTTTTTTTTTTAAATGTACACACTTAATGTTTTATCGTAGAATCTCTTCCCAAAGATAAAGTTAAGAGCTCCAGCACTTCTTTTCTGGTTCAAATTGGGAGTACAATCAGAAGGAAGGTTGAATGTCTTGACTAATTTGGCGACTAACTTTCCAAGAGGTTTGTAGTTTGTAAACCGATCCAATTTCACATCCGGAACTTCCAATTGGCTAAAAAAATAAATATTTACACATTTTGAAATTTTAAAACTTAACCATAACTGCATGTTAAATTCAAAAACAACTCTTACTGGACAAGATGTTCAACAGTGTTACGGAGACAACGATCTCCAACAAGCATATCCAGACGGGTAACAAGTTGCACCTGCAGGTGTAAATTTGTCGCTAAGGCCTCTTCAGCGATGGAGATTTTGTCTTGTAAAACAAGAGGCAGAATTATATGTTCTATGGGATATTGATCAATCATGTTCAGAGCCACAGCACATTGGCAAGCCTGAAAAATAAAAAGTTGATATAAGTATACATGGCTTATGGAATATAACATGCAAATTCCAAATTTTACAAATCTAAAAACCTCTTTATATTTCTTCGCATAAATAAAATGCTGTATTTTTTCTACAAATAAGGCCTTGTCATCTTCCATCCGGAAGGTTGCTAGAATTAATTTGGTGAGGGAACTATTTCTTTGCATAGTAATAAAACAGAAAGCATCATATTTTAGCTCTGGTGTCAAATTGTGCTGGATTTGCTGCTCTCGTGATTTGGCCCAGCCACAGAATTCCTCAATTACTGCAAACAAATAATAGATGCTGTTAACTAAATGCATTAGTTGAGTGCATGCTGGAGCGACAATGGATACAGATTGGGTTGAACATACTGTAAGCAGCCAGTGTATTGGCCTTGCCATGAAAAAGGTCTTCACACTCGGAAATAATTTGAAGCGCTACAGCATAAGGGTTGTCTGATGTTTCCAAGACAGAAAACAAAATCTGCTTCACATTGTCACTCTTTTTCACTGTAACATACAAGAGATTAGACAAAAAAAAAATTAGAAAATGCAGCTTTAACACGATGCAGTGCAGAAGGATTTTCTAAACTTACATAATGCCCATGCGTTCTTAAGCCTTCTGATGAGTTCCGGAGAGACACTAGCGAAATGGTAGGAAGGGGCCATTCTTTCCAGAGGTGGGCCGCCTCTTCTGTTATGAGACGCAGCGTATCCCGCACCTCGCTGCCAACCGTTGCTACGACTGCCATTGTATGGAGCAGACATTCCTGAAGGAAACCAGAACACAATGTCACCAAGATAGTATCTAACTGTTACAACCTAAAACTCTGTCTATTATTGACACATTAGTGACAAAGCTTTAGCTCAGACAGAGAACGGACCAATTCTATGAATGGCATCAATAAAACTCAAATTATCATGAAATCAACAATGGAGGTCATAAATGCCTTCAAAATCTGTGAAACACTGCTACATAAACAAGAAGACGGCTTCCTGACATAACCCCAGAGAGAAAGTTTCTTGACAGGGCACTATCATTACCTAGGTTAGGTACAGCAGGAAACGCGGCAGAAAGATTAAAGAGAAATAGCCGGGATAGAAATGGAAGGTTGCGGTTAAAAGTAAATATATTCATTAAAGTTCCACAGGTGACTACAAATCGGCCATTTCATAACCACGAAGACGTTCCGGTGCGAAAACCGCAAAAATCGAGGTTAAACCGGGTTAAACTGTCATATTGATATTGGTATAGATGGGTTCCACGCGAGGCTAGAAAAAGGAAAGAGAAGAGAATTTGCTGCTGTGACGAATTTCTCTTCCTGTTATTTTCATTGTGTTTGTTGTTGTTGTTATTTGTGTTGAGCTGTTCGAGGAGAGGGAAGTTTACCATTTATATTGCGTCGTGTGTTTGACTGCTGTGAAAGTGTGTTGAAAACTTAGAAAAGTGCAGATTCAAGTCTTAATTGCATCTCTCATTTGCCTGTTTTCGTCTGGCCTTGGTTCCTTCACGATGGAGCAACAGAGCCCAACCTCCAAAAAGAGACCTTTGAAACATTTTGACCATTCCATTGTCCAATTTAATGATGTTGTGATACCTCACAGGCTAGATATGATGAAAAAACATAGGTGCAACATTGAAAAGGTGATTTTATTTTTGGAACTCCATGTTGTCGTTTGTTTTGTATTTGGTAAAATTCAATATGGTTTAATTTCAACTTTCATTTTCTCTGTTTTCTAGGCAATTTTGTCTCATGATTATCAGTCTGCAATACGGGAGCAGGCAGCGGCCAAAATGTTGGTTCAAAACCTCAAAAGGGATTTAAGTGAAATCGAGTCGCTCCGTAACCAGGTTGATGTTCATGATTTGCTACAGTTCGATAAGGCAATAGAAAGCTCTCGGAAAATTGCTTTGGCAGCACTAGAGGAGTATATTGGTGTGTAACAAAATGTGTCACTTTAACTTTGACACATTGGAAACTTGCATTATGCCTTTTTTTTACTCACCTACTTATCTCTGCATTTCTTCCCTAGATCTTGGAAATAAATTGTCTCCTTCAAAGAAATTAAAGACATGTACCTCTGATAATGAGAATGTAGCTGAATTTGATTTTGGAACAGCTCCTAGACTCCAACTTATGGCTGATAAGCAATCTATTTTAGACAAAGATGAGGAGGAGTATGTACGCTCATGGGAATTGCTTCAAAACGATATTGAGTGTTTGCACACTATTTATGCAGATCTTCACGAATTGACCATGGTCTGCTTTTTACAATTGATTATGTTAACTAAATTTTTTTGTTTTCAAAGAAATTTTTTTTATTGTTTGTTGTTTGCAGGCACAAGGTGAACTGGTAGATAATATAGAAGATAATGTGGCCCATGCCACAGAGTCAGTTCATCAGGGAAACCTAAATTTGAAGAGGGCCCTCATGTATAAGGGTGCTGCTTACCCATTGATTGGCGCTGCCATAGGAACACTGGCTGGTGGTCCTGTAGGTTTCTTTATTGGCTTGAAAGCAGGAGGATGTGCAGCTGTTGGAGGGGGTTTACTTGGTTGGTATTAGCCTCTTACTCTATTTTACTGTATCTCTGTGTCTATTTTCCTGATTTAATGAATTACACTTTTGTAGGGTTTGTTGGAGGGAAGTTCCTGAAAAAGACTCACAAACCGGTAGATGAAGAAACGCGCCAAAAAGGGGAGGACACATCATCATTGAAGCCTCACCAAAGCTAACTTGCTTGTCACTTTGTGATTTGACTTTTCAAATCAACTGGGCAACAAAAAGGTTTGACCGCAAGTTTTAGGAATTGTTGTGACATGTCTAACACATTAAATTACTTAATCGAAGGTTTAAGCAAACCCTATTCATTGGGTTGAAAACTTGTGAACGTGCTTTAAATGTAGAGAGGGACCAGACACCATCATTTGAGCAAGTCCCTGCTTAACTGTGATCTGTTTTTTTGTTTTTTAGGAATGTTTGTTTTTAAATTTACTTTTTCTTGGGTAGATGTTCTTCTACCTCAAAGTTATTGTAGATTTTTCTTTGAATCATACCCTAAGTGTGATTGAACCTGATGGGCCATCTAAGAATAATGTAAAATCTTTCTTTTATATAAAGAGGACATATCAAAGAAATACTGGGTGCTCTTTTCTTACCTACCTTTTAAGGATATTTTTTGTGATTCCTGATTTCATTGCCTGATGATAGGTATTATAATTTTCAACATGGTTCAGGGAGGGGGAGACGATTCACAAAATGATATACTGTAACTTGGCTTCTATTTTTGTAAGCAGTCTCTTTTACTGGTAACATTAGCAACCTACAGAATCACACTGGTTCATGAATTTTACTCTTATCATATAACTACAATAAATTTGGAATGCTATCCAATTACAACAATGATATGTATGCATATTTCTTTTCTTCTCTTTGTTTTAAACCTTAAGCATCTTTTAATGAAGCTGACTCGCAGGACCTCGGCTGATATTCATTCATACTTGTTCACTTGGAAAATGAGGTACAATTCCTTTTCTTATAGTAAGACATTGGATTAAATTTGTCTAAGAACACAGGCTTCTGAAGAACAACATCTTCAAATAAAACGAGCAGTTAATATAGCAATCATTTGAATATGGTAAATTTTACTCTACCATAATGACACACAGCGAGATCAAGAGGTATCATCCTCTGCAATATTTAACAGTCGTAACATTTCTCTCAAAATATTCAGCATTAAAGGCGACAAAATTGTGCAACAAACAAGTAAATGGGCCTTGGAATGATATGTATATTCCAGTCATCCTAAGAAGACTGTACTGCTCATTATTTATAGTGGCTTTGCAGTTCTGTTATGTTCCCCTTTTCTCGAGATTGAATGTCACTTCTCCAAATAAATTATTGGTCCTGTTTTCATGTTACCTTTCACAAGCGTATCATGGTGGACAGTAAGGCAAAATTTCAATCAATTATTCCAATCACCAATTTTCATTTCCAGAGAACTGCACTGTCATTTTCTTGAAATCTGCTACAAAGCACTGTTTAATTTATTTTTATTATTTTTTTTACTTCATGGCACTAAATTTCTGTAAGTTAAAATACATTTAGGAACTGGCCAATCAATCATGTAGTAAAGGTGTTCCTGCACCTCACTCATCTAATTTACTGTACAACAGGCATAAACAATCTCTTATAAAATAACACACTGAGTGTCGATGATTCAAAGCAAAGACGTTGACCATGAAATAAAATAGAATGTGCTTTATGGTCATAAGTCTTCTGCATTTGTTACATCTAACACTAAAATGAATCTGTTAAGCTTATCACACAAAATTTCTTAGTGCGCTATGAGAATTATTTACAATACTCACCTACTTGAAAATGCCAAAGAATGACCTGCTTTGACATTTTCCCATCCTCTCATCACCCATAAAATCTGACTCAGTTTCTGCATCCTTGATATGTATGAGACTCGTATTCAGCATTTATTTGAGGGGAAGAAGATTCTGCTATTAACAAGGCAATATATGTATAACATTGGAGAACAAGGTGGATTCTATTAATAAATAACATCTTGTACAATACTGCTGGCGTGCATACCATAGGTTCCTTCACGGAGAAAGGCTCAACTCCGCAACAATGTCACCAATCTTTTGTTATCAAGTAATCGCACAAAGGATTTGCTGCACATTCAAAAATTCCAACCAATCATTCTTGCGGGCACACTTTCAACATAAACAAAGAGGACCAACAAGGACCAAGAGTGAAACCTTGTCCGGATAATCTTCTATTTGCCTTTTTCTCCTTACTTGTTCCAAGCAAGGCAAGGTACTATAGCGACAGCCACCATACCGTGGCCTCGCTCTATCAGATCCGTCCTTCCTGGGACACGCAAACACGCGTGCCCTGCTCACTGCTCGTCAAGCCCGATCACTTTTTCCGGACGCTGGTACAATACACACAAATAAGGACTCCTCGGCCCTTTACGCCGCTCGCTGGGCTTCGGGTGGCCGGTTGGCAAAGAGCTGGTCGACGACGCCCTCGTCGGCCAGGGTGGAGATGTCGCCGACGTCTCGGTCGTTGAGGGCCACCTTCCGGAGCACTCGGCGCATGATCTTGCCCGACCGCGTCTTGGGCAGGCCCGGTGCGTTTTGGATCACCTCGGGCATGGCGAAGGGGCCTATCCTTTCTCGCACTGCGAAGACGAGCGCGGGGCAGACAGAGAAAGAAAGATTAGCCGGTGCAAGGGAGAAGCGCCTGTGGCACGGAGGGTAGGCAATCCCGCTGCGCGCGGCGGCGCGGTGGGTTGCCCACCCGCACCATTACCATTACGGGCTAGACCACACATGATCGCACGGCGACGACGCCAACTCACCTTGCTTCTTGAGCTCGTCGGTCAGCTTCTTGTCGAAGACGGCGCCCTCGTTGGGCGTCACGAAGCAGTACAGGCACTCGCCCTTGACGGGGTGCGGCCTGGACACGACGGCGGCCTCAGACACGCTGGCGTGCTCCACCAGCACGGACTCGACCTCCGCGGTGCTCATCAGGTGTCCGGACACGTTGAGCATGTCGTCGACGCGGCCCGTCACCCACAGGTAGCCGTCCTCGTCCCGCCGCGCACCTGGGCATTGTAGAGTCGCGGGTTCAAGTACTCGCCGAGGCGAGGCGGTTCAAAACGGCCGGGGCCTGGAGGGGGCCTGGACCTACCGTCGCCGGTGCAGTAGTAGCCGGGGAAGCGGCTGAAGTAGACCTGCTGGAAGCGCTCGTGGTTGCCGAACAGCGTCCGCATCATGCCGGGCCAGGGCCGGTTGAACACGAGGTAGCCCTCCCCGGGGCCCTCCACCACCTTGCCGGCCTCGTCCAGCAGCACGGGCTGCACGCCGAAGAAGGGGAAGGAGGCCGCGCCGGGCTTCATGGGCGTGCAGCCGGGCAGCGGCGTCAGCACGTGGCCGCCGGTCTCCGTCTGCCAGAACGTGTCCACGATGGAGCACTCCTCCTTGCCGATCATCTTGTAGTACCACAGCCACGCCTCGGGGTTGATGGGCTCGCCCACGGAGCCGAGCACCTTGAGCGAGGCCAGGCTGTGCCTGCCGAAGCCAAGAGAAAGGGAGTTAGTCACCGCCACCACGCCGAGATAACCTCTCCGAAAGAGTCGCGCTGCCTCTCTCGCCCGCGAGTGCGAGAGAGAGACGATCGGGCCGCAAGCTTATCTCGCGGGCCGCGCCTCCGCGCCTAGTCGGTGCCTTACTTGAGGACGGGCTCGTCGCCGAACTTCATGAGGGAGCGGATGGCAGTGGGGGCGGTGTAGAACTGCGAGACCTTGTACTTGTCGATGACGGACCAGTAGCGATCGTTGCCGGGGTAGAACGGGGTGCCTTCGAACTGGAAGCAGAAAGGCAGTGTCAGCCGCGTCGCCGGGCCTCGGCTGACAGGGTCCTCCTGGAAGGTCCTCCCGGACGGCACTCACGATGACGGAGGTGGCGCCGTTGGCGAGGGGGCCGTACACGACGTAGGTGTGTCCGGTGATCCAGCCCACGTCGGCAGTGCACCAGTACACGTCGTTGGGCTTGTAGTCGAACACGTACTTGAAGGTGGTGGCCGCGTACATGAGGTAGCCGCCAGTCGTGTGCAGGACGCCCTTGGGCTTACCAGTGGATCCACTGCGACAAAAACAAAAAAGGGCGAAGGTGAGGACAAAGTCGGCAGGAGTGGCGAAATGGGTGGGAACGCCGGGGACACGCTCCTACCTTGTGTACAGCATGAACAGCGGGTCCTCGGCGCTGACCCAGACCGGGTAGCAGGACGACGGCGCGTCCTCCATCTCCTCGGTCCACCAGAAGTCGCGGTCCTCCTTCATGTCCACCTGCAGGAACAAGGCAGAAGGCTCGTCTCATCAATCCTTTCCGTCGCCATAGGTTTTCGCGGTGGAGCCCGAGAGTGCGGCATTTCGTATCAAGCCCACCCACCCCGCCCCATCAGATGAGTCCGCGGCGCAGTGCCGCCAGTGCCGCCAGCCTCGCCGACGTGAACACCGTCTAGGTGCACTTGGACTCGCGATTTGGGCGTCATAGCTTGCCGCCGACGTGTCCGCAACCACGACTTACACTGTACCGGCCGGCAGACCGATGCCGAAGGGCCGTTCCGCCGCAGTGTCTCTCTCGCACTCACGCAGCGTCGCGTAAGGGTGCGAGAGAGAGACAGAGCGTCCGAGACGGCTTTTCGGAATCGGTCGGCAGACGCGGTGACGTCGCGAACGTGGGAATAAAGGGACGGGCATTGTGCAGCGGCGGCAAGGCACGGCAAGGCACGGCGATGGCGGCATGTTCGGCCCGTCGGCTTGACGCGGCATCTGTTCGAAGTCCGCCAGGGCCGCCAGGGCGTCCACGCTCACGACGAGGCCCGCGTCGAGGAGGCCGTGGCCGCGGGCCGGTGCGCGGTGCGCGGTGCGTCCGTGGGCTAGGCAGGGAATCCCTGACGGCCTGCCCTGACGGCCTGACGGCCAGACGGGGAGGCGAAATGCAAAGCGCCCAGCGAGAGGACGTTTCGTTTCGCCGACCCAGTTACCTTTGCACCGGGACGTGGCGGGCGGGGCACCGCGACGGCTTACCTTCTTGTAGGCCGCGCTGCCGTTGGTGCCGTTGGTGCCGTTGGAGTTGCCGTTGGTGCCGTTGGTGCCGTTGGCGTGGCCGTTGTCCTGCGCGTTGAGCGTCGCGTTGAGCCGCGCCAGGTGCTCCACCACGATGCAGCACTCCACGACGTGACCCTGCTCGGCCGCGCGGTCCATGGCTGCAATCAAACGCAGTGTGAGTTGGCGTTCAAGGAAGTCCTGGCTGGTTCGCCTCGCCACGGCCAGGGCACGGCCAGGGCACGGCACGTGCGCGTCGCGGTGGCTAGCCACGTCGCCCTGCCCGGCCAACCTTGCCTGGCCGGTGACATTGGCCTTCGGCGAGCCTTCGACGAGCCTTCGGGCACCTGGGGGCAGCTGACGTCAAGTGGACGTCTGCTGGCCCCGCCGTCCCGTGTGGCCAGCTTGTTCACAAATCGGACGCGGCCTCTCGCAAAACAAGTGCATCGCGTCAATCGGCAGTCCGCCTCAAAACTAATCCCCTTTTGGCCAGGGATGCCCGAGGGAACTCCCAAGAGGTTGTTGCCGCGTCAAGCCGTTGCGTCACCACTCACCTGTATCGCAGATGTCCTTCAGGCAAATGAGCTTCTCGCCCCTCATGACGCAGTCGGCGGTCACCAGCAGCTTGCTCTTCGAGTCCAGGATGCGCTCGGCCAGGGAGTCGGAAGAGAAGCCGGCGAACTGGAAGGCAGACGACAAGTGAGCGGTGCAAACAACAACAACAACGCACATGCAAGTGGTAAATCAAACGCCACTCACTGTGATGGCATGGACGGCGCCGATGCGGCTGCAGGCGAGCATGGCGATGACCACCTCGAGCACCATGGGCATGTAGATGGCCACGCGGTCGCCCTTCTGCACGCCGTGGTCCTTGAGCACGTTGGCGAAGCGGCAGACCTCCTGCAGCAGCTTCTTGTAGGTGATGCGGCTGTAGTCCTCGGGGTCATTGCCCTCCCTGTGCAAACGCAAGCGAACGACACCGTCAGTGCTGCCAATTTTCGTTCCTGAAACGGAGAAAGCGGCCCTTTCACCCTGCGGGGTTGGCCGCTGTGGTTGGTTCTAGGCGGTTCCGCCACCACTTTTGCCAACTTTCGGGGGGCCCGTCCCTAAGCCTTGGACCTTGAACCCACACCGCGGCGGCGGGCACCGAGCTCACACTACTTTTGCGGCGGCTTTTGTTATTGTTGTCGCCGCAGTGCTGTGGCAGTGTTCGGCATCGCCAAGCAGATCCTCTGAATAGACAAGGACCCGCCCAAAATAATTCATTCACACCTCTCGGTTCCTTCCTCGGCGACGGCGGCGCGGCGGCCCCGGAATGGGTCGCCTGAATTAGCCGCCGCCCCTCCCGCCCTACCTTTTCGCGGTGTATCGCCCGCAGACTCAATCTCAGAGTCTTATTCGTCAGCCAGTCTCTCTCGCACTAATGGGTGCCCCGTGTGGGTGCGAGAGAGACAGAGCGACGAAAAGAGCTCTCGGAATAAGTCCTGCTGGGGCGGAGACGGGCGGAAAAGGAAACGAGGGAATGGGAGAGGTGCGGAGGGAAGGCCGCGGCGCACCGCGACGCACCACGACTCGTGGAGCCGCCGCCTTTGCATACAGTGACGGAGGGCACCGTTTCGCCACTCACCGAGAAAGTGCATTATGCACGTTTGCGAAAGGGGAGGAAGTTGGAAGTTGGGGGAGGGATGGGGGTTTCTGAGAGGGGGGGGGGTGATCTGGGGGTGGATCCACAGAAGGACCTCGCCGTCAATCCAATCACGAAGGGGATCAGGCCGCGGATTTATCACCAGGGATGGCTTCGCCCCCATTCGGAACAAACTTTTCACCCCCCTCCCTCTCCCACCCTTTTGAACGTTCCTCCATATTTCAACAAACGTGTCCTCACTGCGGTTTTCTCGCCTCCGTAACTACGTTTAGCTATCGTATTTCGCGAAAACCGACCCCTAACATAAAATGAGAATGAGTTTGAAAACATCGGCGAGTGCACCCCCCCCCCTTCCCCTCCCCCGACGGTGCCCTCGCGTACCCCTCCCCCTCTCCGTTGTGCCCTCCTCGGTCGCTGGGTCGATACTGCCCTTCACCCCCGACGGGGCACCCAGACGGGGGGCGGGAGACGCCCGCGCAGCCCCCGCAGCCCGCGCACCAGTCCAGCAGCAGCATTGGCCGAGGGGGGCGAGGGGGGCTTGGAAAGAGGGGGCGGGGGCGAGGCGCGTGGGCACGCCGCGACGCCAAGTCCCATAGAATCTCATGGCGCCTCGCTATCGGCATGTGACTGTTGTCTCGAACGCCCCCGCCCCCCAAGCCCCCCGCCCCCTCCCCAAGGCCGCAACCCTCCTGGCAGAACCACCCCCTTCATCCTCCAGGTCGAGGCGCGCCCCGCGGGGACGCATCCGGCACGAGTCAAGCCAATCAGCACTGCTCTGTCTCTCTCGCACTCGTGGGGCGCCCCGTAAGGGTGCGAGTGAGACAGAGCGACGAGAGCGGGCACTTACCGCCGCCACGCACCTTTAGGCCTGGCTCTGGCTCTGGGCATGTCGTCGTCATCGCGCCGCTGATTCGCTGATGCAGCGCGGCGCTACTGTCGCTGATGCCAGCTTCGCGTGCGCTGCGCGCTGCGCGCTCCGTGCGCCGCCGCCGAGCACACGCGCCCCGCGTCCGGCAGCTCGGCAGTCCGGGCCCATAGCTCAGCCCCTCGGCCGGAACCCGGATGGCGGTGTAGCGCGTCGCGTTGGAGGACGCCGGGGGCCAGAGGCCAGAGGTAGGCCAGAGGTGGCGGTGGCCGTCCAGTGGCCGCCGACACCGCCGACACCGCCGAGCCCGCCATGACCATCGACACCGCGGACAACCGGCCAAGCGGCCAAACAATGCGCACGAGGAAGCGAAGCCAAGCAGCGGGGCGCAAGTCAGCGACTCCGGCGCCTACACTGTGGTCTCGACGCCGTGGGCCACGCGCTGACGGGGCGAATCCGACTAGACGGACTAGACCGCGCCAAACGGCTATGCGTCCAGCCGCGCCTTACAAGGCCCTCAGACCCCCGAGGCCCTGGCCCTGCAGCTTGATCACTCCGAGAAGGGTGCGACAGAGACAGAGCGACGAACGAGCCCGGCTAAGAGAGCCGCCCGGGCCACACGAGAGCCAGGGAGTGCGGCGCGCAGAGCCAAAGCCAGACCAAAGCCAGGCGGGTCAAAGCCAAACGACCTTCCGCAATACTATCGACTGCCCTCCGCGTTCCGCGACGACGGAGGGGGAACCGGCGGTCTTATAGAAGATGGTTAGCACCCCCCCTCTCAAACACACACCAAAATTTTAACGCCTGAACCCCAAGCCTTGTCGTGTACGCTGTACACACACTACTCCCACTATCGGCACGCGAAACACGCAAAACGCGCCGGCCTCGCTTTGCAGCGCTTGGCAGCGCTTTGCGGGGCAAAGCGGGGAGCGTGGAGCCATCGCCGTTCGCGGCTTCACGTTATTCACAGCTGCTCGTGTCGTTTCGATCACGCGACACACGCACAGCCGACTGATTCAGAGAGTCGCTCTGTCTCTTTCGCACTCGCGGGGCGTCGGGGCGTCGCGTGTAGGTGCGAGAGAGACAGACAGCACTGGCGCCGCACCTGGACCGCAAAACCACGCACAACCTCTCCTACGGGGCGAGCAGGGAAACCCACGTCCGCGTCCGTCACCGCGCCGGGTACCCGGCTACTCATGCCGAGTCATTGTCGTGGTTTCGCTGCTTCGCTCCTCGTTTCGTTTGCCCAGTGGTTAGCCCGGCGTGGCTCCGCGACCCGCGTGACGCGCTGGAAGGCGTCACGCCGACGGCCTCTCTCCTCCGCCTCCCTCACGCACACGTGAGAGAGGATGACGGTTATGACGCGGACATCAGACTGATTCGGCGCTCCGTCTCTCTCGCACCTGGACGGGACGCCCCATGAGTGCGAGAGAGGCGAAAACGCTTCTCGGAATCAGTCTGTGGAGACGGCCTACAGTGGCTGCCTTCGTCCGGCCCGGTGGCGCAGCGTAGCGCAGCGCGGCCAATGGCGTACAGTAGCGTTTAGCAATGACGTCACGGCACCCTTCCAAAGAGGGGGAGGGGGAGGGGGCGTGCCCCTCGGCGTGCCCGCAGCAGAAGGCTCCAACCCCCCTCCGCCAGCCACCTCGACGCGAACCTCGAAATATGAAAATGACCGGTCCAGGTCCACGCCGCGGAGGTCTTTGCCCAGAGCAACGTCCACTCGTCGCCAATTTTACGGCCGATGGCGACGGCGATCGGGAATATCCCCGGCCTGGCCGCCGTCGCCGCCGTCGCCAAGGTGTCCCCAGTGCGAGATGAACGCCTCCGCCGCCTTATCGGCGTCTTGCGGACTAATTTCACTCCGTCTCTCTCGCACTCACGGGGCGTGCCGTGTAGGTGCGAGAGAGACAGAGGCCCCGCAGTGACGTCACCGCTGCGCGTGGGCGATGACCCCCTTCCCTCCGCGCGCAGTCTCCACTGGCAGGCCAGGGCCGCCAGGGCCGCGCTGCGAGGGGGTGGGCCGGCGGGGCCGGGGTGGGGCGGCCGGAGACTTTGGAGCCGAGGGTTGGTTGGCAGCAAGCGAGCCGTGCCGCCAGGCCGCCCCTCCCCCGCCTCAGTGGGATAGGTCAAAGGGCCTGGAACACGTGGGCCTAGCAGGCCGAGCAGGCCGAGCTGGCGGCCACGCGCGTCCGGAAGGACGCAGGACCCGAAACCTTTGTCCTTTGCGCGGCTCTGGATTAGGCCGTCGTAAACGACTGCGGTTTCACTAACCGCCACGAGCCGCGCCGCTAAATAACCAAGAACGAATCGACCCTGCTTCGCGCTGCTTGCATCGTGATGGCGCTCTCGTACAGTAGAGTGAACGTTGCCACCCTGAGAGCGGGTTGACCAGTCTCTCTCGCACTCATGGGTGCGAGAGAGACGGCTGATACCGAGAGTTGCTTTCATCACTTCGTCACTCTCGCACCTATAAGCAATGCCCCATGAGTGCGAGAGAGACAGGGCGCCGAAAACTACTCTCGGCATCAGTCTGCTGCAGAGCGCCTGTGAGGTAGGCAACCCTCCGGCACGCGTGCACGCGCGCTGCCTACGCGCTCGAGCCGGGGGCTTCGGTTCGGGGGCTGGGCGTTTGGAGCGTTCGGGGGCTCGGCAACATGGCGGCTCGGCGGCGTGGTGGCAGCGGCCTGGCCCGCGGATTGCCGCCGCGCGGCGTGTGTGGAAGCCACTGACCCCACGGCCGGCCGCGGCGAGCCTACAGCGAGTGACGTCCTCACGTCCGGACTCAGCAGTGTCCCATCGGCCCACTGGTAACCCGATTCCGGTTCGAGATCGAGATTGAATTTGAGATCGAGATCGAGTTCGAGATCGACTTCGAGTCCTCCGTGCCGCCAAACTGACGCACTCCGTTTGCCCGCCTTTTTCTCTGGAGCTGCCGGCCGAACACTTTTTCTCGTTAGGGGTCGTCCACATATTACGTAATCACCTAAGGGGGAGGGGGAGGTATAGCTGAGGCTTACGCTTGATTACAGAGGGGAGAGGGGGGTGACCGTTTTGATTACGTAATCATTTTTTAGTCACTTTATGCAATTTCGTTGATCTAAACATATACGGAAATACTGCAGTACACCGACACCAATCGCACTTTCCCATCCTCCAATAGACACATTGACGATTATGCGCATTTATCATTTCGCTAAGAAGCTCTTTTGTCTTGTTTTAGGAGTTTCATAAAAAGAATGAAAATCTTCTCATTAATGTGAACAATCGTCAATACTGTAAAAGCGAATAAAATGGAAAACCCCTGATATTCTTTTCAGTGATCGTTTGCAGACAAGATACACACAAGTTCGGGTGCCGGCAAAGAAGGTTTTACTAGGTCACCGCTCGGCAGCATCATCGATCATAGGAAATAATTTCAGGACTGGTCGTCCTCACTACTGCATGGTAAAAACGGTTTCTGGATTGCCCAGGAACTCCCTGGAAATCGATTAAGTCTCGCCCATAGGCTTAAATTATTACTTTTTTTGTCACTCGTACCGTGTTTGGGAACATATATAACCGCTAGATCTGGTCCTCTCATTTAAAAAAAAATTGTGGATTACGTAATCTTCCGTTGGGGGGAGGGGGTCGGACCGTTGATTACGTTTGATTACAATGGGGAGGGGGAGGTCAAAAACCCAAAAATCGTGATTACGTAATATGTGGACGACCCCTTACCTCGCCGTCTCCCCGTTCCATTCCCGCGGCACTGCACTGCACAGCGCGTCGAGCAAATTGTAGTGTATTGAATGGCACGAGTCCTGTAGGCGGATTACGAACAAAGCTCTCGTCAGTTCGCCTCTCCCGCACTAGAGGGACGTCCCGCAGGGCGATGGAAGAACCGTTCGGAAAGCTCACTACTGACAGGTAGCAGGCGTGCTACCTACCCTGCCTGACGGGGTCCTCAGCGGCGGTCCCAGACCCCCCTCGACGACGCGCACACCCCTTTGCTCGACGGCGTGCTGCTCGTCTCGGTGCGTCGCGAAGGGTCATGTCGCAACCAGTTGAGCAACCCCTTGCTCGGACGTGCACGGGGACGGGGGCTCACAGAAGGGGAGGAGGAGGGTGGGGGATCTGCTCCAGCTCGGCCATAAACGCGCCCGCGAGTCCTTGATCCTGGCACCTCGACAGGCTGACAGGTTGACACCCGTGACAACGGTGACGAGCGTGGGAGGCTGGCGCACGCTGGCGGGTGCCGTCCAGAGTGACACTTTGTGGAACACCATGCGAAAGTCACAATTACGCACTCGACATGCATGCAAAACATTTCCGCACAGTCACAAAGAGAAACGTCGTGTTTCCATGTGTTTAATTTTGTTCTAAAATATGTGATTTTTGTTTCTTGATTGCAATTGCATGTTCAGGCAAACCAGCAAGTGGTTTTTGCACTTGTTTTAATTTTTTTTAATTCCCCAGGCTTGGCGCCACTGTGATGCATGTGACAGTGGACTCACCAGTAGTAGGCGATCCTGTCACCGTTGCCGCAGCGCACGGTGCGGTCCAGCAGGTTGTAGCACACGTTGGTGGTGGCGCCGTCCAGCCACTTGATCTCCACGGGGCCCTTCTCCGTGTCGAAGTTGTAGCTGAGGAACTTGCCGGGCGTGTACGGCGTCTCCCAGTGGAACTGCTTGTACACGGGCAGCCAGAACTCCTCGGGCTTGTCGATGGACTTGGCGTACATCTCCTTGTACTGGGCCATGCTGCTGATGTGGGCATTCTTGGCGAGCTTGGGGTTGGGCGCGTACACGGCGGGCTTATCCATGGTGTCTGTCGTGCCTCACTTCACTACAATAAATTAAACACACGGCCACGGTCCCGACGAGAGCGGAGCAGACGACGCGACTGGACGGATGGGTTAGCAGACGACGCGAGCAGACGACGCGAGCTCGGGACGCGGCTCCGCTTGACAGTGGTCGGTTCGGCTCGGCTCTGCTCGGCACGTTTGCGATCAAGTCGGGGCGTGGCGTGGAGGGGCGTTGCGGCAGCCCGGGACGGCGACGCAAAGCACACTGCTAGCGCTGGCCGTAGCCGCGCGAGCCGCGCGCGGTGACCAAGCCAGCCAGGCCTCGGCGCTGGTCGCGCTGGTTCCCCCACCGTCCGCGGCCCGCAGGCGGCGCCACCGGCCGCACGCGTTGCCAACCTTTCGTCGCTCACCGCGCCGCGGCGCCGCGCTGGCTGACGTCGCCGCCGACGCCCTGCCCGCCGAGAGGCCCTTACAGCCACGCCCCGGCGCCCCGGTGACGCACGTCGTCGACGGCGACGCTGGGCGGCGAGCTTCTCCGGCGTCTCGGCGGCTGCCCGGGTGGCGGCACTGGCCGGCGCGGCGGGGATTCGGGGATTCGAACCCCACCGCGGCGCTGTTCGCCTCGCCGCCGCCGTCATCGTGCTGGTCGCGTTTTCCGATTGACGGGCATCGCGTGACTTCGTCGTCGACGCGATGCTGCTATCGGGGCATGCAAATTAACCGCCCTACTGGATCACGGCTATCACCGACTGCTGGTCACACTGCGTACACGAACCGAGCCGGCCGGTCGCGCACGCTTTGCGCGCAAGAGCGCGGTGGCTGGCGGGCTGGCGGTCGGCCGCGTGCCTCGCACGGGCAGGCCATCGCACGCCTGCGCACGCCCCGGCCATGCCCCGGCCCGGCTGGCATCACCGCCAAAACCGTTTCGCAGGCGGCCAACTGCAACACAGTGGCGCGAAGAGGCATTCCCGCCGAGGAGTATCGAGCATTCCCGCCCGAGGCGGCGGTGGCGGCGTGAGTGAGCACGCTGCCACCTGCGTCCGTTGACGGCCGCCAGCACACCGCGCCCTGGGAGGCCGAAGACGGACAGACAACAAACCCTGGCTGGGTTTCTACAAAAATGAGAACCCAAGGAGAGAAACCCCGACCGGATTTTTCTGAAAAAAGAGGGCCAAAAGAGGCCCGGCCCGCCCCTCCGCGCGTGCCCACGGCGTGGTCTTCCTGGCGGCGCCCTTGCGTGGCCGGGCCGGGCAGACACCCGGCCGGCGATAGCGCGCAGCGCTCTCGACTCACTCGGGTGGCGTGGTTCCCCACGAGGGCATCACGTCGCCGCACTACTTGGCCGGCCGGGCGATCAGCTGACGGGGAGCCCGCCGCGACCACGCCGGACCACGCGGGACCACGCCCACGCGACACGGCGGTGCCGCGGCATGGCGCTCGGGACGAATCCAAGCTTGCGGTGTGGATGCGGTGGGGTGACCAGCGATGACTACTCTTCTTTTTATTTCGGCCAAGCCAGGCGGAGCCAGGCGGAACGCGGAACCTAGGGTGGCTAAAGTTCGCGGCGCGCTGTTCTATCGGCTGCCGCACGGCGCCAGAAACCATTTGTTCCGTTTTGCGGGCGACACCTAGAGCCCTTGCTGCCATCCGTCTGCAGAATCGCTTTTTTTCCGGCGCGCGTCGCTGCATTTTCATCTTCTGCAGGCGCATGATGGCGGCAAGGACGATCGGCCCATTGCTCTGGCCGACAGTGGACGGCCGTTTGCTCACGGCTTTACTGCCTCGCCGACGTCGCCGACACTGTTCTCACGGCGTCAGCGCGTCAGTGAGGTGGGTGTGGCGCCGCGTGTCCGAGACTCGGCCCGCGATGCTGGCCTTGGCGTCCGGGATGTCAACCCAGTCCCTTGCTCTCGCCGAGGACCCCGTCGAAGTTGCATCTCAAGTCCCCTTTGAGGGCCTCGTTTAGGTCCCTGTTTGGGCTGTTTGGGCTGAAGGTCCTCCATATCCTTGAGGACCCCGTCGAGGCCTACCTGGAGGCCCTCCTTAAGGACCCCGTCGAGGCCTTCCTGGAGACCCTCCTTGAGGACCCCGTCGAGGTCTTCCTAGGCTCGGCCGTCCGGCCGTCGGCGCGCAGTCGGCGCCGCGGGTAACGGCTCCCGGCGCGTGCCGTCGCGGTGCCGCCCCTCCCCGTCGAGGCCGTCGAGGCCGTCCCGGCGCCAAATGAAATTCCTCACGGACTGTCCCCGGCCACGAGAACGTGGCCCTGGGGCGCCGGCGGGGGCAACCCACCCGCCCGGTCCAGAGGGTGGCTTCCCTTGACGGCGACCTTGCATGCCGCGCGCGCCTCCGCGGCGCGGCGGCGGCGTCAACGTCACGCACTCCATCGCGATGGTGATGAGCACCGAGCGGTCCACGCGATGCAATGCGATGCACCACACCGGGCGGCTATCTCCGTCGGCACTTGAAAGCCGCGGAACGACAAACGACGGCAAAGTGTCACATTCGCCATCGAGGAATGGTCGGACTGGGTCGTGAAGCGGCGAGCGGGAAGACAAAAGAAAAAGCCGCGGTGATATCTTTCCCCGCCTCGACACTGGATACTGTACAACAGAGTCATCGAGGCCTTTTGGCGGCGATATCCTGCCGCCGGCCTGACCTGTCTCTCCCGCACGTTTACACGGCACGCTCCGCAGAGACTTCACAGAGACAGAGACTTCCACCTCCTTGGAATCGGTCTACTGGCCGGCGTTGCAAGAGCAGCCGGGTGCAGCGCGTGTCCGACCAAGGCCCCTTGAAGACTGACGTCGCTCCGTCCCTCTCGCACCCGGACGGCCCGGACGGCACGCCGCATGGGTGCGAGAGAGACGGAGACGCACCACTGCCTGCCTGCTTAACGCGCCGGGCGTCTAAAAACGGCACACTTTATCGCACGGCCGTATGAATTAAACAAGCGGGCGCCTTTTCTTTTAACGATTTCACAGTGTACGTACGACGCGCAGCACGTGCTGTCGGCGCAGTCGTCAGCGACCGTCCAAACAGGAAGCGCGAGGCGGGGGGGGGGGGGGGGACGCGAATAGACGATGCCCTGGAGTGCTAATCCCGAAATCTAAATGAAGTACAGCATCAGCGGCGCGGCGTTGTTTCGACGCGTTTCGGCTCAGCCACGCTCGCCCCCACGCGCCGACGCGCCACGCACGGCGCCGTGGTGGCCACTCCACTCCGATGTGGGGCAGCAGTGCCGCGTCCACCGCGTCCAAGCCCCGGCCCAGCCCGTGTTTGTTGTGTTTGCACACCTTAGTGGTGGCAGCCCTGCGTCTATCGGTCCGTCTGTCTGTACATGCGTCAGTCTGTCTGCGTCGGCGCTAGTCCGTCCGGCCTGCTTCGATTTTCCCCGCGCCCCGTTTTCCGTAAAGAGAAGGATGTGTGCGAATCGAGTGGGCACAAGCTACGGATCGAAAGTCCGAAATAATCATATTTGGATTGGCGGACGGCGGCCGCCGGATTGGGTTTGGCGCGGCTGCGGACTGATGCCAAGGGAAGTTTTCGTCGCTCTGTCTCTCTCGCACTAATGTATAGGAGGGAGAGAGACAGAGCGACGAAAACGACTCTCGGAATCGGTCTGCAGTGCGCTTTCGGCCAGGGGTGGAGCGTGGACGTTGGTCTTTTTGGCCACGTGCCGTGCCATGCCGTTCCGCGGTTCGATCATCTGCTTTGCAAAAGCCGGTAGCGCGCTAACCAAGCTCGTCGCCCCGTCTCTCTCGCACTCGGCGTTGCGCAGGGCGCAGTTGTTTTGTTGCTGTCTCGTTGTTATTGGCGTGTCTGGCCGAAAGGAGGGCGAATCCGTTCGGACTTCCCTCTTCGGGTTCACTCAGTCGCACTGCGGCCGGCGCGGGTCAGCTGGTCAGCACCCAGCCAGTCGGCCGGCAATGTTCAGTTCCGTGGATTGAAAGAAACAGTTTAGTCCGAGCGTGGGCGGCGCGGGCCCCGCGACCCGGTGCGAAGTCCACTGCAGTCTCGGCGACGAAAACCGGCGGAAAGTTTGGCTTCGATTTTTAAGAGTGCTCCCACGCCGAAATTGAGGCGCAGGGCGAGTTGTCCTCGCGCCAGTGCACTAGCGATGCGTTTTATCCCTCCGGGAAACGGACACAGCCGCCTTTTCCAACGACACATCTTTTATTTTTTAAGTGTAGCCGCCCTGTCCTGCCGGCGTCTTCATCCATAATGGAACACCTGATTGAGCCCCGAAGACAAGCGAGGGCGTGGCGCGGCTGGACTTGACTTTCGGCCTACTGCTCTATTCTAAATCCTGGCCGCAGTTGGCTTCATCAATTTTTTGGGGGGTGCTTTTTCCGACTTTTTGATACCGTAATTTTTTCTAAATGTGAGGATTGAAGGCCGTGCCTCAAAGCACCCGAGTCCGTGCACTTCTTGCCGCCCACTGGCACACTGATCAAAATCGCTGGGAACATCGCACATATCAGGTTTATGTAAGAACGGAAAGGCTCAACCTCACTTGCGTGGGCGGGTACAGTCACTGTACGAGTGTTTCATTTCGCAATTCATGCTTTATCAACGGAATTAACGGATCGAAGGGATATGTTAATCATGGCTCGCGTAACGAAATACATAAGCAGGGCATCGGGCCACCCGTGCGCGTGTGTCGATAATTTTGGGGTCAACGTGTCGCCAAAACGCAGGCAGGTCTAAATGTGACGAGGTAAAAGAACCTCGTCAGGAGGAGGGTTCAAGTTCAAGCGGCGTCGAATAGGCAACCCATCCTACAGCAGCGGCGACCGATCTGTGAGAAGGGTTGCCTGCCATCCCGGCGCCACCCGGCCTGCCAGCCTCAGCCGCGTAGACAGACAGTCCTGTCTCGCGTCGCTCTATCTCTCCCATGAGTGTGAGAGAGACAGAGCGATGCAAACGACTCTCGGAATCAGTCTGCAGACAATGTCGCTTTTCCCCCTGCGCAATGCGGTGGTCCCACGATGCTGATAATTTATTAAACACTATCTGTCTCCGTCTGTCTGGCCGGTCTGGGCCGGTCTCCGCAAGGGTCTCCGTCTGGCGCACCGTGCCGCTTATGTAAGGCGCGTGATACGTCGCCCTATCGTCGCCACGGTGATGGTTCGCCAATTAAAAAGCCGCTCTCTCCGGGTCACGCCCGGCCCTGCAGACTCATCGTGTCGTCTCTCTCGCACGCCCACGCGCCGTGGGCTTGGCCGTGGGTGCGAGAGAGACAGAGCGGTGACGCCGCGGCTGCCCGGTGCAGTGCCTGGGTACGTGCAAAGCCGCGGTGATAGCGTGGCCATGTGGCACCACACCGCTAGGCCGCTGGTCGAGCGATTGTCGCTCTGTCTCTCTCGCACCCTTATGGAGAGAGCCATGAGAGCGACGGAGAACCAGTCTGCCGCTAGGCCAACCCGGCCGGCGTTGGCGACCGCCCTCGATAAGGGAGGCCTTTAAAGCCTGGAGCCACCCGCGCCGGTCGGTGCAGTGCGAAAGCTTCGAAAGCTTCGAAAGCGGGTCGCGGGACGCTCGGCTAGGACTGCCGCGCGCTGCTGGCGCTGCCCGAGCCATTCATTCCAAGGAGGGTCGTCTCTCTCGCACCTCTACGTCGGTCGGTAGCCGGTAGCCCCCCACAGCCGAGAGGATACGGTGACAATGATCAACTGCCACCGAGAGGGCCTCCACCTTTACGAGTCGAAAAACCCTACCATTCGACCGACCAGTACCTCGAGGGATGATTCAGTGATCAAAGCTTATCTGAAACATGACCCAGGATGATATGTTATTTCCTGTACTGCTGCCACACTACCACATCGAATGGCAGAATATCAACAGATTCTGTAAATAAACGTGAATTGCACTCGTTTCGTTGTCCCCGTTGTCCTGGCAACACTAACAAACACGGCAGCATACTGCGGGGAAAATGTCTCGATACCAATCAGGCCAGGCTCGCGCTGAGAGGAACCAGGAGCTGCTAGGTCATGAGCCCGCTGCGTTTCAAACTTTCCCGGGCCTGCTGGCACACTGTCGATGTTTGTGTGACAACGGCCGCGCCAGCAGCGACATCTCTCAGCCAAATTTGTCCCCAACCACAACACCAAGAGAAGTTCGTCGCGCAGGTTAAAGCGTATTTAGGCGAAAGTGTCTTCGCAGTCAGTTTTGTCCAAGTTATTAGCTTTCCCGACAAGCCGTTGTCATGAACGACTGGGATACCGTGACCATCCTCAAGAAGAGGCCCGTGAAAGCGTCGGCAGCCAAAACCGAACAGGTAGATTACTGTGTGCCTTTTGTGAAATAACACGCAGCAAGTGGCCAGTGGCATGCCTTGCTTCTAGAATTTTCTTCGGCCAAATCGAAAATCACATTTTTTTACTCTCTACTTTTCTCGTCTTAGTCTCGCATCCTTGTCTCGATTGGTTTATTTTAACCCATCTCACATTGCATTGGTAAATTGATGTTCTTTCATTTCATGAAAGGGAGTTGCCTCCATATTGGCTCACAGGGGATATTGCACTCTGTTGTGGTGTTATGCAAAAAAATTTGATGTATCATGAAATTCTGCAATTTTATCAAATGGTAATGACTACCATGTTCTCTACTAATAAGGTCTGTTTGTTTGCTTTCAGGCTGTTAATGCTGCTCGCAGGCAGGGTCTTGCAGTTGATACCCAGCAAAAATGTATGTATTTTTATATTCCCCTCTGGTTTCTATATAGCTTTAGCATTGATTGCTTAAGTTGTTGAATTTTGTTTTCCCAATTTTAGGGGGTGGAGGCCAGAACAAGCATACTGTCACCACTAAAAATACTGCCAAATTAGACCGTGAAACTGAGGAACTTAAGCATGACTCAATCAGCAAAGATGTTGGCAAATACATCATGCAAGGGAGGCAGGCCAAGGGGTGGAGCCAGAAAGATTTAGCCACAGTAAGTTTGACAGAATGCCCAATTCACTTTGTTTCATAACTACCTTTCACAATTGCTATTAATGCAACTACTGTTTCTCTTGCAGAGAATATCTGAGAAGCCACAAATTATCAACGATTATGAAGCAGGAAGAGGTATTCCCAACCAGGCAGTCCTGGGCAAGATTGAGAGGGCAATTGGTGAGTTTTCTTGCAGTTTTGTGCTTCCCTTGATAGGTGCAACTCTTCTGCCTTTACATTCTGCTACCAGAAATACCTAGCAGTATTGATTGAACAACTGTCAAAAATTTTGTTGCAGGCTTAAAGTTGCGTGGCAAAGATATGGGTCAACCCCTCCCGCCCCCTGGGACCAAGAAGTAAATTACTGTCCCTGGGGGCCCTGTCGAAGCCTCGCTGTCCTTTCACCTTGTGTGTGTGTCCACGGACTGATTAATAACTAAATTCCAGAAGTGATGAGCAGAGTAGGTCATGCTTTTTTCATCATGTGAAAAATTTTCGCTACTGCAGCAGTCAACTGAGTTGCTATAGGGACCATTGATAAGTTGGCTCGCACTGTTTCTTGTTAATGCTGGCAAGTTGTCTGGTCATTATGTCTCTTCTTTAAAATGTGTATCACGTTAATGCACTACTTTTCTTTTGTAATATTCCTTTCAATCACTGAGATTGTTTGTTTTTCTACTTGGACTGTTTGTAAATGTTTTCTTTGTAAATCTGCGTCCTTATACTTGCAAACTTGTAGAATTAAAATCTTATTAGCCTGTACAATTTTACTTAATTTTTCTCAATTACTACAGGTGAAAAATAATACATGAACATTTAAAGTAAAATTCTTATTTATTGTAGGCAAAAGACATGATAGAAACCTGTACCAAAACTTAATCTTTACGCAGGGAGAATCTCTCCTCCTTAATACCATTCTTATCAATAATGCTAATCATAACAGCATCACCAGTGTGAATTTCTCGCTCAGCAGCAGAAATGAAAGCGTCCTTGATGATAGCAACAGCACGCTCGCGAGTAATGGGCTCCTTGGTAGCATTGGTCATATTTTTCAATCCCACCTTAAGACAAACAAAATAGAAATAAATTAAAGCATATTACGATAAAGTCAGGAGGATTTAGAGTGTACTCAACCCCTACCTGGTTGTCCAGGAAAGGTTGCAACAAGGCACTTGAAGCTCCTCCGGCGTAATAATGGTTCCGTTCATAATGGCCCACAGGGTCATAGTGGTAGACAGCTCCCTTGCCTTCAGCATCAAGACCAGCAAGGATGTTCGACACGTAGTAAGGGAAGAACCTCTTGTAGTATAGCATGGTAGAGAGGAGCTGAGCCACAGCTGGCGTGCTCATCACTTTCTGGTGCTCATGGTTGTACATCTGTAAAACAAAGTCATGATTGAGATAAACATTCGAACATGCCAAAAACAAAGAACAAGCTTAAGAAAAATAATGCCAACCTGCAAGCGAGCAGTGAGAACACGGGTGAGGGTCAACACATCGCACCAGCAGCCACATGAGCCGAGGACAGTCTTGTCAGAGAGACGGAAGAGCTTGCTCTGCTCTCGGGTGTTGATGGCATAGCCGACGGTCAGACGGGTGTCGGAGCCGATCACGGAGAAATCTTCGCCAGCAATGGCAACCACGGTGCTGCAAAGAGACAGGGGCATTAGGACAATCCATTCAAAACCACAGCACCACTTTGGCAGGGAATCCATAACCTCAAAACAACGGTAAACACTGCCAAGTCACGCAGCGCTAGGTCACTAGATGCAGAGGAAATTGATACACGGTAGCAACAGGAGAGTTGTGCATAAATTTTAATGGGTGTAGCGTAACTCCGTACATATAAACATAGGGTGTGACAGCGACAGAGCCGATGACTTGGGCGAATTCACTGCCTCGGTACTTCAATTTCTTTCACTTACCCTCCGTTATCAGAATAGGGCGAGAAACGGTTTGCTTCCATGGGACGGCTTCCTGCAAAGGGTTCTACGACGGCCATGGCGAAAATTAAACAAAATAGCTAAGTAAACGCGTAAGAATGACACACAACTTTGGTGGTGGTTGTTGCAGCTGAATGAAAGCCGGACGCCTTCCACAACATTCGTTCTGCGGTTCGGCTGTCCTGCGAATAGGCCCCGCTGTGGTGCACATAAGGGACTTGTTGTGCGTATATTGGCTTAGGCGGCACGTAAACAAAGCCAAACACTTGTCGTCGTGTCCTGTTTTCCCCGTTTTTGTCAAGTTCTACTGTCAAGTGGCTAAACTTCTGAACTCTTTATCGAGAGATTACGGCCGAGGAACTGGGACTTGCAGCTTTGGTTCTCGGCTTGATGTCTGGCGTGTTCCCTGCCTTTATCATTCAGAATTGTTAAAATGGGAGACAAAAGTACTCTCTTAACCTACTTACTTTGGCTTGTTGGAGGAGTCTTTGGCCTGCACCACTTCTATCTAGGCAGGGATTCGCAGGCCTTTCTATGGTGGAGCACCCTTGGAGGCTATATTGGTTGTGGCTGGCTCCGAGATTTGTTTTACATTCCGACCTATGTAGCTGATGCTAATGGGGAGAGAGCTTTCATTGAGAAGCTAGTCGCTGCAGTCAGGACCCATAATAAGGTAATTATTCCTCCAAATGTATGGCTTGACTCTCTGACTTTTGACAGTAGTCTTCTTGCTAGACCTCTTGCAACAATATTATTCCTTGAGCGCGTGTCGATTTCATGACTGATGACTGATGTATTCAAAATATTGCATCGTTATCAAATTCAGTGAAAATTGCTGCCGCTTTCTTATTGATAGGGCTGACACTTACGTGTCTTGTTTACTGTTTAGGGTAGTATTATTGTCCTTTCAAATTTCACGCTCAGTGTTTTATTAGGCCTGCTTTTTTAGTTAAGTAGGTCACCAAAGTTTTCTTCACTATAGCCCATGGACTTTCTTACTTAACTGAATTTTTTTTCCAGCCACCATTTTCAACCACCCGCTTCTGTGGTATGGTTATTGTCGGCTACCTGTGGGCATCTGTGCTGATGTTGGCTGTCCCAGAAGATGAAGTCGCTGGTATTAATTGGAGATTCCTGTTGTTCCTAGGCCCATTGGCCTGTGCTCTAGGTGAGAAGAATTTCTGAAGTTGAGGTTTAACTTTACATTTAGTTATGATCTGTATAATTCAACAATCTCTTTTCTTATTTGAAGGTGTTTGGACAGTTGGAAACATTGGCCATGAAGAGGGTTCAATTTGGTGGCCATTAATAGCAGCATACATCACATCCCCTTTGTATTTCTACTTCCACATCTACATCTCATTTTTAGATGATTCAACAGCTTTCACTTTGATGGTCTTCTGCTCTGCATGGGCTTTTGATTCTAAGGCTAAGCAGTGGAGACGTACTCCTAAAAAGAAGAAATCTCTTGCAAGGTATTTTTAATGATTCCTTAACTGGTTACCTTGAATTTTTGTAATCTTTCTGTTTCATAAATTTGTTTTGTTTTTACTTTTAGGAGAATTACCACACTAGGGCTGTGTGCACTGTTGTATACATCACTCTGGACTTCCTATCTTTATTTCAACGCAAAGCTGGTTGACGCTGAGGGTGAAGAAATCCCTGTCCATAAGGCAGTACACCATTTTCTGACTTCACCATGGTGGCTTGATCTCAAACAGTCCCTTCATGACACCTGGACATTTGCTCAAGCTCATGGATGGAGTGAAACATGGAAGCAAATAGTGGAGCTGAGTGATCCACACGGAGAACAAAATGCATACAAGGTAAATTTCAATTCCTTAAAGTTTTGCAACTATTCTTTGCTCTATGAAATAATATCCTGCACTTTTTCTGTCTCAGGTTTTGGGTGTGTCTGCAATTTCAACCCAATCAGAAATCAAAGCCAAGTATCGAGCTCTTTCTTTGGAATGGCATCCTGACAAAGCCAAGGATCCAGAGGCCAAGCGTATTGCTCAAGAAAAATTTGTAGAAATTCAACAAGCTTATGAGATTCTTTCCAGTATCAAGTCAAAGAGAAGGAGCCGCTCTCGTAAAAGTGATCCCGAATGGAGTTAAACAACCAATTGGGACCACTGGGATACTTGGAAAAATAACTTTCATTTTTGTACCAGTATTTACACAACGAGTGTACTTTAACCACATTTCTTGTGAAACTCATGATGGATACTTTTTATCCTCTTTCTTTACAGTATTGGTAGGAGTTGTAGTGCACTGTTTGTGGGTCGATATTCTTAAGAGCTTGTTTTTGTCGCTCCTTTTTATAACTATGTAGCTGGTAGCACAATCAATTCTTGTTTAGTCATACTCAATACTTCTTAATCATTCTTTTATAAAGTAAAAAACATGTTATTTTTGTACTGTTGTCAGGAAATATGTACTGTGATATGTTCTTAATATTAAATTATTATCACATTTTCTTTTTAAATGATATTTGATTACGACTTTTAAAAAATTATGTGATAGACGTCTTTACCAAGGAATTTTGAAATAAGTTGGTATTATGTCACTCAATTATGGCCAAGTGCTTAATTTTCACATTAAATTAAGTTGATTGTTGCCTTAGTTTATTATTTATATATTTATTCTTTGTGTTGAATCACAAAATTGAAATCGAAGTATTTGAAATGTTAGCTATTAATCCATTGTTTGGATGCTGGAATGAAGTACTGTTTAGTCTTTTAGATTATTCCAGTTTCTATATACTCACTGACTTACTAAGCGTGACAAAAATCTGTTTTAGATGTGACTTGTTATATTTTGTACTGTTTCATTTTTGGGTTTATAGTAGATGTGCCAAATGTAGAATGATGATTGACTCTTGTTACAATCTGCTGCTTCCATGTTTTTACTGCCAATGATGGGCAACGTTACTAGCTTTCTTCCATTCCAACTAATTCATTCTATTCTATGTAGATTTTTACAGTGTTAAATGTTTGTGTTATTATTGGAAAGTTTTTTTTAAACAGCTTTAGTTTGACATAAGGGGAACACAACATGGATACTTTGTGTAAACATTTTTTCAATGATCTTCCATTCAAAATGTTCTACATTGCAGTACATTGCAGTAGTACTTGTGTCTGAATTGTGCTCTGTATGAAAAATGGTTCACCCTGATAAAAATTGTGCTAATAAATGATTGTTATTATGGTAACAACTCTTCGTTTTTCAATACCACTCAATTACAAGAATGACATGCTCCTCAAGAGATGGATCAAGAGGTGAAAAGGACGAATTGACACAAAACATATATGTGAAAATTAGGATTTAATTTTCAATAATATCAGTAACAATTATCAACTAATCTTTTTTTATGTTTCTCACATTACAATTTATAAATAAAGAAATAGGTGGAGTAAAAAGTGGAATTTGCTCTTAATGCTTACTTGCTATCACATGGAAACTTATAGTTTGGCATAGGAGACTTTACTTACACAATAAACATATCATTAAGTACACACCATAAGCTGAAATTTGGCATTTTGGTCCGAAACACTGAAACGAAAGGAAATGACTGAGCCACGGAGCGGAAGCCAGCTGAAGCGGGCCGAGCATGGAAAGCGCATGCTGAGGGACTAGACAGGCCGGGCTGCACCCAAGGCTGCACTTCGCGGCCCGTGGTCCGCGGGGCCGAAGCCACCGACGCCGGACCGCGACCGCTGCGGGGGGCGGGACGCGACCGTGGGGCGCGGCAGCATGCTGGGGAGGGGCTGGGGGGCGGCGCGCTGCCACCGGGGGGCGGGGGCGGGCAGGGCGGGCTCGTCTCTTTGGTCGCGCCTCCCGTGTGTCCAGCGGGCCGCCGTCTCCGAATGCTATTTGGCGCGGACCGCGGGCCGCGCCGGGGGCGGCGGTGGGCCGCGCGGGGGCGGCGCGTCTCGCGGGGGCAGCGGGGGCGGCGGCGCCTCCCCGACCAGCGTCACCTGGAACAGCAACCGCGGGGCGTCAGCACCGTCAGCACGGGGCAGCCGGTCTGCTGGCTAAGTCAGTGTTTTAGTGGCGGAAACATCACATCACAGTGTCAGTGGCGGCAGAAAACAACAAAACAAAGAAAGACAAAACAAAATAACGAGAATTAATAAAAATCAAACAAAAAACAAAAATGACCAGCTGGAAAAGTGTTAGTTTTTAACCACGGCTGAGTCCACTAACATTCGAAGCTGACGTGGAAATGATCAGTGAGGTGGTGACAAGAGAGAAGAAACGTGCCAGAGTTTTAAAACGGATGCACATTACGTGGGAATGAATGTGCTATAAAACGGAATGGAGACAAGATTGAGAATGTTGTATTTTTTTTGTGAGTAGGTGAGAGCAGAGCAGGCGGGGCCGTCGAGAGGTCCTCACACTCCAGCAGTGTGTCCTCCGGCTCGTGTGACTTCCTCTTTCTCTCTCTTTTTTCCTCGTCCGTTGCAGAAATGGGCCGTTTTTATGCGCCGTCGAAGGCCGGGCGGCGAGGCGGTCGGGCGTGCGGTGGCGGTTGGCCGGTCGGCCGGTTTGTGGGCCAGCAGACCGATCGCGAGAGTCGTTCTCGTCTCTCCGTCTCTCTCGCGCTCGAGGGGCTCGTGGGGCGTCCCGTGCAGGTGCGAGAGAGACAGGGCGACTCGCGAATCAGCCTGCTGGCATGGCGTGCGGCATTTGACGCTTCCGTGTGCGTCCCGTGTGTACGAATGGGCGTCAAGCAGCAGGAGGAGGGGGAGGAGGAGGGCGTGCAGGTTGTACCGTGGTGGGGCGGCTCCTGGCCTTGGCCTCCGGTTCGGCCTGCTTGGCCTCCACGCTGCCCTAAGGTCATATGGAAGATAGGTCTGCGCAACCGAGATGCATGCTGGGAGACCGGGCAGCTAATCCCTCCCGAATCCGTCGCCGGCTGCAGCGGAGGACCGCCTACCTGCCTGCCAGCCTGCCTACCGGCTTGCCCGGTCTCCCAGCATGCATCTCGGTTGCGCAGACCTATCTTCCATATGACCTTACGCTGCCCTGCACTGTCTGCACTGCCTGCACTCCTCCAGGGTGGCAGCCAGTCTGCAACACCACCAACCCACGCCGGGTCGCCGGGTAACGCCACGGAGTGGTACTGTACAGCGGGAACTCGCGATAAACTCACCGTCACACACCCACACTTATACATACACTCGCTCCTACACTAGCACACACACACACACCGGAATGGTTGTCACGGCTCGGCGCTGCTGGCAGAACGTCAAAGGACACTCTTCACGATGGGCACTGACCGTCACCGCCAAGGTGGTGCCACGACAAGAAAGAAGGAAAAGAGGGGGGGGGGCATTTCGTTCGTCAGGGCGATGGCCCCCTTGAGGTTCCTTCCGCCGGTCTCAAAACTGCCATTCGATGCTTGTCGCCGCAGCCGCCCCCCTGGGAGTAGGCAACCACCTCCCCCGCTGGAGCGCTACGCGGCTGAAACCGACACCGTTCCCTGACGAAAAACATTTTGGTTGGGTTATTGGAAGCCACGTGGTTATACTCTGCACTGCAAAAAAAAAAATCTTGTTTATCTTTTAAGATCTTTTGAGATCTCGGAGAGGTAGATTTTCTGGATCTGGGGGCTGGAGTGGTTAACAGTCTGGTAAGCACAGGCAAACAAAAACACGTCACACTCATCATTCCAGCACACGTTTTTTTGGTTTTGCTCCTCACCCTGGCCGTGTGACTAGCTCGCTCGGGCAAGTGTCACCTGAAACACAGCCACCTCGGCGTCAGGCAGGGCACGATCTGCGATTTGGCCGTCCCAGTACGACCCCCCAAAAACATCATAATTTGTGATCGTGGCGACGCAACGCCTCACTGACCTGCAGCCGGGGCACGCTGAGCGGCCGCAGCAGGGACTTGACCACGGGGGGCATGGAGGGCACGGGGAGCGCGGGCGTGGAGGCACACAGCCCGGCGCCCGTCAGCTGCGTGATGAGCGAGAAGGCCGGCGAGGACGAGGAGGCCGCCGAGGCCGAGGGCGCGGCGGGCAGGTCGCTGGCGGTGCCGGAGCGGAAGGCGCGCCGCACCCGGGACTTGATGGACCTGCAGGAGCAGCGGAAGGCCGTCGCGCTCTTAGCCGTGTGTTCACCTCGTAAAACCGTCGCGGGGATTCATAAACAGCAGCGTTTTGTCGCTGGTCGCTGTGCGAGAGAGACAGACTTACCTCGGCGCCGTGGTGTTGGCGAGCGTGCCGCTGCGTGCCTGCTGCACGCGTCCCAGCGCGGCCTGCAGCTCCGGCTCCGAGCCCCAGCGGCCGTACGCCGTGCCGCGGTCCAGCAGCCGCTGCCTCGCCAGCCGCTCGATCAGCTCCGCGCACACGTGGCGCCCGCAGAAGCGCGCCCACTGCTCGGCGCGCAGGCCGCGGCCCGTGTCGCGCAGCGTGGGCGACGCGCCTGCATGCCGGGGAGATAAGTCAAACATTCACAACAATTGCACAGTGGGCCAGAGGACCGGTGGAGGCGGACAAAACTCCACACGCGTTTTGAGCTCCAGAGTCGCTAAATGGGACTCGGACCGAACGTGTGACCCCACCAATGGATTGCTCTCCGAACGAGGAATCCATTGGTGGGGTCACACGTTTGGTTCGAGCCCTGCTTAGCGACTCTGGAGCTCAAAACGCGCCTAGAGTTTTGACCGCCCCCACCGGTCTTCTGGCCCACTGTGAATTGGGAGCTGTTGCCCCTACACTGATAGTCACCTGCGAGCAGCAGGGCGCGCGCGCACTTGGTCCTGCCCTGCAGCGCGGCCTTCATGAGCGGCGTGAAGCCCTGCGCGTTGCGCGCGTCCACCTGCACGTCGGGCTGCCGCAGCAGGGCGTTGACGGCCTCCAGCTGGCCGGCCTGCGCCGCGAAGTGCAGCGGCGTGTTGCCCTCGCTGTCGGGCTGGTTCACGTCCACGCCGGGGCACTGCAGCAGCAGCTCCAGGAGCCCCGCGCTGCCGCCGGCGCCGCCCAGCGCGGCCAGGTGGCTGGCGGGGGTCTGCAAGAGGAACAGAGCGCCGTCACGACACGTCTCTCTCGCACACATGTGGCGCCGCGTGCGGGTGCGAGAGAGACAGAGCGACAAAGCGCAGCGCCATCGCGACTGCCCTTTGGCTTTCATTAGACCAGCCGAAGGGGGGCGAAGGCGCACGCTCAATTTGTTTGTGTTCGCCAGAACGACCCGCCCTGGCACGCCGCCAGACACATGGATTGCATCGGCTGCTCGCGGCCCGGCCGGCCGGCCGGTCGTGCGACTCGGAGTAACTCGGAGCCGCGCCGGAAACGGCAGTCAAGTACGACAAAGTAGTCTGTTTCCGCGCGGTCTACATGAAGGCCCCGGGCACCCTCACCCTTGGCGTGTCGTGCCTCCCCTCTGTCGGCCGCATGACGCCCGACATCCACTCCGACAACCCCAAAACAAAAACAAGGCTTCCTCCCCGGGCTCCCGGCAGGCTGACTCCGTCTCTCTTGCACCCTTGCGGGGCGCCACGCGAGAGAGACAGCGACGAATGAGCATAGCTGGCAATCAGCTTGCTGGGCTTGGCTCCCCCACCGCCGAGTGGCGCCCGAGACTCCTCTCCATGCGGACGGGGCGTGGGGCACGTGGTGGCCGCCAGGAGTGCACTACACGGGGGGGGGGGGAGGAGGCCGTCGTCAATCTAGGAGGTGCCTTTAATGAGCATGTACCCCGTGCGCGCGGGCCCGGACCCCGGGCCGCGCCGGCAGCCTCTCCCCCGAGTTTGCATATCCGCTCGCTCATCGCCTGTCTGTCTGTCTGTCCGCCCGTCCGTCCGCCGCTCATTTAAGCGAGTTTGGCGCTGGCTGTTCGCACCTTGTAGGTGTGCAGGCGGCTGACGGCGAGCGTGACGGCGAGCGTGACGGCGAGCGTGACGAGGCCGGGGTAATGAGGGACGACAACGACGGGGGGCTCGGGGAATTGCTCTCCAAGAAGACCTCTCCCGCCCCTGCTCTCCGCCCTGCTCTCCGCCCTGCTCGCTGCCGCCGCGTGCACGCGTGTACACGATCCAGCACTTGACGGTGGCGGGGTGGCGCCACTCGCCCAACAAGAGCGCGCCGCGCGTTTGGCCTAAAAATACGTGGCGCGAGACGCAGGGCGGCAACAGCGCCCTGTCTCTCTCGCACTCACGGGGCGGCCCGTGTGGGTGCGAGAGAGATACGCAGAGCGACGAACCTCGGAATCAGTGTGCCGGCCGGGTCAAGCAGTGAATCATGTTCTGCTCACAAAGCAGCGTGCCGTGCCGCGGCGCCGCGGCCCCCTGACATGAAACTTGACGTGCGCCGGCCGCCCTGCCGCACTTGAGCCCCGGTTGCCATGGGCGGGGTGGTGCGGCGTGGCGTGAGGCTTATTGGGCCATGATCCACGGGCACCATGGGCCGGGCGGGCCTCCCGGGCCCCGCGGGAGTCAAATCGGGGCACGCGGATTCCGTGCAGTGCGGCAGTGCTCTGCCCCCCTCGCACTCGCGGGACGCCCCATGTGGGTGCGAGAGAGACAGGCCGACCTGCGCGGCGGAATCGGCCCGCTGCCCAGCGGCCTAGCGGCCAGCCCACTTGAGTAATCGCCAGTAAAAGCCAGTGCCGTGATCAAAACAACACGCGCTGCATTTCCTCGGGGACCGTTTCCACGGACCGGCTGCTCTCGATGGCTTTCCTTTTTCGCAGTGGATGGGGCGGTCCTCGCTTAGGGCAAGGTCCTATCTTAAATGCACGAGATGCTTAAGGTCACCAAGCAAGGGCGCGGCGCGGGCAGCGGCCCGAAGCACGCCGAGATGTTGTTTATGAAAGGCCGTCTGGGATTCTTTTTGGCGGTGTACCGGACCGGCCGGCCACCCCAATCCGATCTTCACGGGGTTAAAAGCGGCTGCATTTCTGAGCGTGGCGTCATCGGCGCGCTCTGACGGGGAGGTCTGACGGGGAGGCCTGATGGGGAGAGCCAACCACCAAGAGGTTCAGGTTCAGGCGGCAACTGCCTCCAAACTAGATGTGGCTAACAGCATCCCTCAACGTTCTGGTAATCTCTTGGTCCTAGGTCTCTCTACCCTTTTATTTTCTTCCCAGCCTCGGATGGAAACGCCTTAACCACACATAGTTTGGGAGCGCCAGCTTGTCAAAGTTGGCCAAAAAGTGTTTGAATCTCTGAATGTACCCCCGGGAACGAGCCTGCTGCCTGACGTAGCCCCCGGCGTGGAGGCGATGCGTCGTTGGCACGCCTGGCGGCTCGCCAGAGACCGGCATAGGCAGGGCGGACTGGCAGACTGGCAGCGCCCCACGACAACAAGCAATAGGGCAGCGTGACCCGGCGCGGCCCGGCGCGGCCCGGCGCGGCCCGGCGCGGCTCAGACACACGGCGCTAATGCCAGCAGACACACTGCACTATCGGGGTCAACCGGGGGCACGCAGGAACGCGGGTACTGCGCAGGCACGCCAGGGTTCAAAACCCGACGACGACAGTCCGGCTCGTCCACCCCACGGCGCTCGGCCCTTGGCTCGGACCGCCCGGGGGAATACCGCGCGCACAAACGCGCTCGCCGACAGACGTTCGTCGCGGAAGCTTTTATTATTCGGGGAGTGTTTACACGCAGCGTTTTTGAGTGGCGCTTGGCTCTTAGTGGGTTTACTCTTTCCGCTCCCTCGCCTGCGGTATTGGGGCCACCTAGAATCTATAGCCAACACGGCACTGAAATCAGCAAATAATGCATCAATTTTTCAAACAGAAAATCGGGGCAAAAATAGGTGATGAAAAGTGACAGCAAACGAGCACAAATTTAGGACATGTGCGCTGGGAGAGTTACACGCGTTTGGAGTTTTTTTTTTTCTTTTCGATTTTCTAGTTGTTTACCTAGGCCTGTGTGGCGACTTTGGCGACTCACCCTGCCCTGGCCGTCGCGGTGGTTCAGCGTGCTGGGCGGCGGGTTCCTCCGCAGCACCTCCAGCAGGGCGTGGTGGTCACCGTCCCTCGCGGCGGCGAGGACGGCGGCGCTGGTGTTGCCGCCGTGGTAGCCGTGGTAGGCGTGATGGCCGTGGTGGCCGTGGTGGGCCTGGCCGTGCTGCGCCAGGGTGGGCGCTGAGGGGCGCGATGGCGGCCCCGGACCCGCGCTGTGACTCGAGCCGCCACCACTCCAGGGGGACCGCTGCGGCTGCTGCTGTGCTGGCAGGGCTGGCTGCCTCGTGGACGCGGACGACGCGGACTGCCGGCCGGACCAGGGCGACCAGCCGCCGCCGTTGCTGGTGGTGCCCCCCGCGGGGACCGTCGACGCGCCCCTCTCGGCGGCGTGGTGGGCGTGGTGGGGCTGGTGGGGCACCCCCACCCCGCCGCCGCCGCCGCCGCCATCCGAGGCATCGCTGCCGCTGCTCGGCAGGTCGAAGCGCACCCGGCGCCCACCAGGACGAGCCGTGTCGGAGATCAGGGACCCCGCCACCTGTGCAGCGAAGCAGACACCGTCACCGCGGCTCGACGACAACAAGGTCGTCCGTACGCACTCCTCGCTCTGTCTCTCTCGCACTCACGGAGTGTGCCGTAGGGGTGCGAGAGAGACAGAGAGAGCGGAATCGCTCGACCGAGCGCCCGGCTGCCGCGCGCGACCAGCCCGCAGCGCAGCGCTGTGTGGCGGGCCGGCCTACGCGGCCTTCTGCAGGGGCTCCAGGGCCGCGCGCTGCTCGCGCTGCGACCTGCGTTCAAGCGCGGGACTCCACTGCAAACTGATTCCGAGAGTCGTTTTCGTCGCTCTGCCTGCTGGGTGATGGGCCGGATGGGTGGTACTCACCTGGCCGTGGTGGCCGCTGGAGGCCCCCCAGCGGCCCGCGGACCCCGACGACGCAAGCACGCTGCCATCGCGCGCGTAGGAAGTGGCGCCGGACAGGTCACGGTAGTGCACCGTGACGCGCAGGGGCTCCTGAAGGACAAGCACGTCGTCAGCACGGGGTGCCAAGCACGTGGAGCCGCGGGCAGTGCACCAAGGTGACGACGGACACGGCCTGCCCCCTCCACTGCGCCCCAGGCCTCCAGGTGCAGCCGACTCCAGCGGGGCGGCAGGTTTTGGCCCGTCGCCAGCGCGGCGCTACCCCGCACGTCGAGGGAACGCGGCGCGTGGGGTATCTCCTCCCTCCACCCAATGCAAACAGATGGGCCGTGGAGGGCGTGGCCGAAATTCAAATTAGCTCAGTATCCAAGAAGGACCTAGAGTCATTGGCACGAAGTTTCAACCAGGGCGTGCTTAATTGGCCTGAACTTCAGCGCATCAGCGTAAGCCGATGAGTTGAAAATTATTGCTTGAACCCTTACCCAGTGGGTGCCGTTGACGTGACTAAAATTAAAACTTTTTGCCCGCCAGCACATCACTTCCGTTTCATAGTAATGCGCGCGCACAACCGCACTACCGCACTTCGACTGCCTACTCGGGCTGTCTGCTCACCCTGGAGGCAAGCCTGAAGGCTAGCCAGGGGCCGTTTTGTCCGGGACTTCCCCCCCCCCCCCTCTCTCTCTCTCTCTCTCTGAGTGCCGTGGATGTGAGAATGGCGTGGACTCCGGGGCGCCAAGGTGGCGGACGGTGGCGGACTTGGGGTCACCCGGCCGGCAGTACGATTCCCGACAGTGCTCCGTCGCACCCGTCTCACTCGCACCCCTTCGGGCCACCCCTCGAGTGCGAGAGAGACAGAGCGACCTTCCGGCGTCTTATCACTTCCTTATCTCGACGGGTCATTGTCGCCACGCCCGGCCACGCCACGCCGCGGCGGTGCCGCAGGGGCTGGGCAAGGACACGGCGCTGCTAAATCCATCGGCCGGAGCCAATGCCCATTCGCGCTCCAAATTATGTGTAGGCCTCCGCGCCTCCTCGACCGGGAAAGGCGAATAGAGAAAGAGAGAGAGAGAGAGAGAGAAAGAGGGACAGGGCGGCAGCGGGTTTGCATGTTTGCGGCCTGGCTGTCGGTGCTGTCGGAGTCGGAGAGGTTCGTTCCACTTGGTTCGTTCAGCCTTGAGCGTCCGTGGCCTCCGCGGCCTCCGCGGCCTCCAGCCTGCCGCACTACACAGTGACCACCCCGCGCCGCGCGCCGCGCCGCCACTCGAGCCGTTGTTGTGGCGCCATCACGAACGAACCCCCGCCCCGCCGGCCCCGCCGGCCCTCGCCCACGCACGCCATAGGCCTCATGAGCGGCGCCAGGGCCGGCCGTGGGCTCGTCGCTTATGCGCCACGGACACCCAGGAGGGCCTGCTGGCAGTGCCGGCAGTGCTGGCCCTCCTCGAGGCCCCAGAGGCACTAATCCACGAGCTCGTCCACGAGCCGGTGCCACGGCGATGGCCTCCATGGCGATATCCATATGCAAATGATATTTGTAACGGGCGGGGCGGGGCGGGGCCAGCCGCGGCCAGCAGCAGGACATAAGCCCTGCGCGGCGTGAAGCAGCGAAGCACGGCCGTGCCCTCCTCGAGGGTGGCAAAATACAGCTCTACAGTGCAGATAGCACGGCAGTAAAACCGAGAGTAAAACGCGTGCGGAACACGGCGGAGGCGGAGCGGGCGGCGCGGGCGGCGCTAGGGTGGCCGTAGCACTGGAGTGCGTTCACGGCCACCGGAAGGGAGGAACTGGGCCTCGCGTTTCGGGGGCCCGGAATACGAGCACAGCAAGAGGAATGGTTTGATAATGAAACAGGAGTGGGACGCACACGCCACATCCTGACGCAGTCCGAATTGCATGCACGATCGTGGGGACGTTCGTCACCATTCCGTTCCGACCAGCTTCGCGACAACACTGCGCTCCCGACTCACGGTTTTGAGATAATTTGTCCCCATCGGTCAACCCAAATTGGCATGTTTCACCCTATGGTGGCCGCCTTCCCTACTTCTTGTCTCTGTCAGCGTGATGCCCAAGGCCGAGGGTCAGAGCGGTGGCCTGGCCGGTGGCCTGGCCGGTGTGCTGACGGGGGCGGGGGTCACAGGGCCGAGGTGGCCGAGGGAGGTGAGCGGCCGGCCCGCCTGGGCTGGGTGCTGGGGTTGGGTGGGGGTTAATTAAATGCATCCGGAACTGTGCGTGGGGTTTCCAGACCTCCAGACAGTGGAAGGGCACGGCGGGGAGGGCCGGGGAGGGGCTCGGGCCGGGCGCTCTCCGTGCAGGCCGACACGCGAGCCTCAGGGGCTGCACCCAGTGGTCTGATTCCGAACGGTGATGCCGTCGCTCTGTCTCCCTCGCTCTCGTGGGGCGTCCCGTAGGGGTGCGAGCGAGACAGCGTGGCGAAGCCCGCCGGCTGCGCGTTGCACACTGCTGGCACACTGCAGGGCCGCGTTGCCCTCGGCGTTGCCGCGCATCGCCAGGATTCGCCATAAATCGGATTAAGGTGGCGGGATTAACGGACGAGGCGCCATCGCCCCGGCGTGAGAAATTAGGTGTCGTCGTCGTCGTCGTCGTCCTGGACCGAGCACTCCCCGCCTTAATCACTTCCATCTCCAGCGTCGTTTCCCGCGCCGGCCGATCGAATTTTAATTCCAGTGCCGCGAATTACGGCGCGGAATGAGTTATTATCGTCGTCGTCAAGGCTTCGTTACGCGGCCATCAGGCTATCAGGCTAACGGGCTGCGGGGCGAGAGCGAGGCCAGCCAATCGGGGACGCCGACGTCCGCCGGCGTCGCCCGCGGTAAAGACGTCTGGGAATCAGCGATGCAGATGGGCAGGTAAAGGCTTTTACGGCCACCGGAGGGACGGCAGGCGGAGAGAGGGACCCCCTCGAGCTGCTCGCCGATGCTCTTGGACACAAGAAATTGCATAAAAATTATCTCGGGCCGAAGAAATCGCAAACGTCCACCCACAGGTCGCAGACGTGTCTTTCGCGGCTCGGGAGGCGTTGCAATCGTGCCAACCCCTGCAAAGCGACCGACTTTTGCGGTGGCTCTGCGTGTGCTCCGGCGCCGAGCCTGCGGCCGTGCCGCCGGGTCACCACGACCCAATACTATACTAGAGCAGAGAACACACACGCGGCACATAAATTTGGCCACCGGGTCGCCTGCCCATTGTACACTCTCTAGGGTGATTTAGCGGGTCGGGGCGGGGCGGCGCACCGTTCGGCCTGTCAGGCGGGGCGGGTGGGGCGGGCGCGGGGCTTGCAATGACAAGGTGCCTCCCCCGCCCTCCTTCGCTTCACCTGCTTCGCCGGGGCGGCCTGGATGCATTTTTAGCGGGGGCCTAACAGCGACGCGGGGTCGGCGGGCCGTTTTAGGCGCTGACTAACTTATCCTCACGACTTCCTTATACTGACCCGCCGCGTCGGGGCGCGGGCGGAACAAAGAGAAAGAAGGGGAGGAAGAAGAAGGGGGGAAGAAGAAGGGGGGGAAGAAGAAGGAGAGGGAGAAGAAGGAGAGAAGGAGGAAGAAAACAACGAAAGCAGCAACAAGCGGCGGGAACACCGAGTCCGGCATATGGAGGAATTTTAACGGGCGAATTATTCACGGGGCGTGCATGCGCCTCTGTTGCTTTGGGCCTTTGGGTCGACTCTCGACTACGATAGCGAAGCGAGGCGAGGCAAAGCGTTTCTTTGCTGGCCTCCCGCACGGCACTGACTGTGTGCTGTGTGTTTGTGAGACTGCTTGTTCGTGCCCCCGGTTCGATTTCACTCACCTCCCTGGATCGCCCCTGGTGGTGGTGGTGGTGGTGGTGGTGGTTGAGGGAGGTGGTGGAGGCGCTGATGAGAGGAGCGCTGCGGCTGGACTTGACCACCATTTTGATCCCTGCAACAGTACAAGCAGCGATTGTCATCCACACGGTATCTGTCTGTCTGTCTCTCTGCCTTCCAGCGCCACGTGGGCGCGGGCTGTACAGTCGCGCAATTCGGCGCCTTTTGTCTCCGTCGCCCAGAGAAAGGCAGGCAGCGCTATTGGATCCATCTTGGAGTAATACAGTGGGGAGTCCTAACTGGCGCGGCGGTGGGCCGAGCTGTCCTGACGAATGCTAGAGAGAGAAAACCACCCGGTCGGAAATGCACCCCATGAAACCGACCGAATTCATCGATGGTGATTACATCCCGTCCATCTTCTTCGCCTTCTAAATCCATTTTTCAAAACCAGAACCTTCTAAGTTGCCCCAGCCAGGAGCTATATGGTGGCAAAGTTCGGAAACTATCTCTTTCTCTCTCTACGATTCGCCGGACACCTAGTGCCACGCACAGAAACGCCCTGAACTCCGGAACGGTATGGGTTAGCTCCAATCTGTTTGCATCCCGTAAATCCCCACTCTTTTTGTGACAAGATGAGCTATTGGGAAAGTCTCTAAGTTGAAAATCAAGCCTTCAGGGCGTTGGCAAACAGAAAGGTGCAGCTCTAGTTAGGACTCCCTAACAGTATTACTCCAAGGATCCATGCGGTGCTGCCGGCCGGCCGATTCCCTCGGCAGACTGCTCAACAGAGAAAGAGAAAAAAGAATAAAAAGGGATACGAGAAAGATTTTTGGCGCGTGTACAACGGTGATGAGGCGCGGCATGAATATTAACGTGTTGGGCGCCCATCTGGGGGCGTTCCGAGGCGTTCCGTGGCGTTCCGAGGCGTTCCGGGGCGTTCCGAGGCGTTCCGTGGCGTTCCGAGGCGTTCCGAGGCGTTCCGGGGCGTTCCGTGGGCGTTCTCCGGGGCGGTTGCGGGCGAGGGTGGGTGGCCGCAGGCCAGCGCCGCCAGCAGGGGTGGGAGAATGGAGGGGTGCGGCCAGGCGGCCATCGTGGGGGTTTTCCTCCGCTCCCTCAATGTCTAACTATTCGGGGAGGTGTGGCTGGGTCAAGGGCGGCCAGGCCACCGGCCCCCTTCCTTCACGTGCTCGTACTGCACCCACGAGGCACGCCCGAAAAAATACAACAACAACCAAAACAAACAACAAAAACACGTGGCACCGTCTTAATCGAAAGTAACCCGGCCGGGCGGCGCGCTACGCGCCGTTGATTTTTTTCTCGTCGGTGTACAACCTGCTCGTTGTGGTGAGAATACACGCGAAAGGCTTTTTACCCCTTTTGGGCCCTGCCGACCTGCCTGGCCCTGCCTGGCCCAGCCCCGCCACCCTCCCAATCCGGACGGACGGTAAATGAAGTCGCTATAATCGGAATTGGTTGGCTTGCATCCCCCCCCCTCGCCCCGGGACGGGGTGCTTGGCTATGTATGGAGGTCGTTGTGGTATCAGCGTGGCAGGGCGGCCAGCGCTTTCATCGCTCTGTCTCACTCGCACTCACGGCGCGTCCCGCAGCGCGGTGCGAGAGAGACAGAGCACTGTTCGGAATCAACCTGCAGGGCAGGCAGCCAGGCAATAAGAGGGGCGGCGAGGGAAGTTGTCAAGTTTTTCGGATCGCGGCTCCCCTTTCTCTTCTCCCCCACCCCCTCCCCCTCCCCCGCCCACGTGTTCTCGCGTTGTGATGGATGGTGGCCTCCCCCTCCATCTCCCCCCCCTCCCCCCATCCATCCATCCTGTTGTGTGTCTACGAGCCGATCACTCAACCTCTCAAACTTTTACAATACGGTGGACTTTTAGGTAATTCCCCGTCGCAACACCATTTTCCCTCCCGGGCGCTTGTCTCCATGCAAACGGAAGGAAAGGATTGACAGACGGACGGACACCGTCAGACAGACAGACAGACTGACAGACAGACAGACAGACAGACAGACAGACAGACAGACAGACAGAAGGACGGACGACGTCGCGGCGGGGTGGGAGGGAGAAGACGATATTAGCGCGATAGCCCTAGCTTAGCCCGTTGACGCCACACCAACCCTTTCGATCTTATCACCCGTTCGTGCCCAGCACCAGCCACGCTACGTCTCGCCGCGCCACGCGCCGCGAAGTAGATGTAAATATAGGAGGAGGGGGCCTCAAGAATAGAAGACTGGCCAGGGAGGCCATCGCAAGAGCAAACATTTGCCTTGCGAGTATCGAGGGGAAAAAATGGACAAGCGGTAGCGAAGAAAACAAAAATATGTTGCGCGTGCTGAACCTAAAGCCTAAGTTGGCACTATTTACCTTTGTGGGTGTTGTCTGTGGTGTATCATGCCGAATTAAGTAGAAATAATCTAATGGAGTGTTGAACAACAGGGAAAATCTCGCGTTATAGAATTCACCATAAAGAGAGTGGAACCCGCGTCCCCCGCGCGGCGAGCGAGTGCTCTAGCCACTCGGCCACGACGTAGACGTAGCTCTTTTTTATATCGGCTGGTTGGCGTGCTCCAGGCGAGCCCCCAGTGGGGCCAAGGCAGGCCAAGGCGGGCGAAGGTGGACCCCGGTGGTGCCGCGTTCTCGTTGGCCCTGTTGCACGAAGGGGCCCGGAGGGCCGTGGAGGGCCGTGGAGGGCCCCACGCGGGGCGGCGGGGGGCTGCAGGGCAGGGTCCCACTCAGGGAGCCGACCTACTCGCCTCAACTGGGAAAAGTGGCCAATTAATGAGCCGATGGCCGAGGTGGCGGTCATTTCTACCGTCGCATTGTTTACGTCTTCTTGTTTTCCCGCGCCGAAACTTCAGCCCGCGGTTTGTCGCCCCGACTTCGCGGCGCGCTGGCACACGCAGAAGGCACTCGTTGTTCTCGTGCAGCGCGGCGGCGTGCGGTTCTAACCTAGCCCACGACAGCCCTGACCTAGGACGCGCTGCGCCTGCCTATAGCCTAGGCCGGCCTTACTCACACACACGTGGCAAATGTAACCTACATAAGGCTCCCCTCAGGCTGACACAACCTCCATCGAGACTAGCCCGGCGGGGCGGGGCGGGGCGGGGCGGGGCGGGGCACGCGAGCCTGTCCTCTCGCGGCCTGTCAGGAGCCATCGACCGCCTGCAGCAGAACGGCCCATCACCCACATCACGGAGCGCGCGGGCTTTTTGGCAGGATCGCATCATAATGTCAAGGTCGCCGGCGAGAGCGAAAACAAAAACAGAAACGAAGAACGAATATGTATCGAAAAAGAAAGATGGACCAAAGTTTTCCAAATTGCGGCCTACATAGCCCGTTTTTTCTCGCACGCCAACGCGGTCACATGCGGTCGCGGAAGAGAGCGACAGTGCACTGCAAACCTAACTGTCTGCTTACACCCTTAAAAGTGCAGTGTCCGTATGCGTACATATATATGGAGTTCCGGGGCCAAGCATGCCGTTGTAAGTGTGTACTTGGACAGTCAGGTTTCAGCTGCACTTCGTCCACGAGACGGACTTTAAACCAAACAACTACAAAATTAAACCATCTCCAGCGGGAAGGAGTTCGCTTTATTTTGGCCCGAACTGCGGAGCGTCCGTCCGTCGGCCCCTGCGGCGCGTGGTCATCGACACGCCGACAAAAACAAGAGAACAACAACAACAAGCAGCAGTTTGAGAGAGCGGCCGTATTTTTAGGCGCGGCGAGGGGGTGCAGCACGGCCAGCACGGCTAGCACGGCGATGGACAGTGCCTCGAGCAAGATCAAGGGCAGCATCACGGCCGAAAACAATGACATCAACGCCGAGGCGAGGGAGAAGAAGAAGGAGGAGACGAGGAAGAGAGGGGCTCCACCCTATTTGCATGAGCGAGCCAGCAGCAGGTGCAACTGGGCGGACACAATGGCTGTTGGTCTCTAATGGTCAGAAGGACGTCGTCGTGGCCGTCGTCAGCGTTGACGTCATTCAGACATTCTGACGCGGTGGCGCGGTGTGGCGGTGTGGCTCCCCCGCGACGCGGCCACGCAGCCACGCCACCCGCAGGGACCGGCCACCCGGCCAACACGCACCCGAGGCCCTCCAGCAGTCGGTCTGTCTCTCTCGCACCCCCTGGCGGGGATCGGGACGCTCCACGAGTGCGAGAGAGACAGCGAGTGAGTGACGAAGCACGCTGTTTGGAGTCGGCTTGCTGCCGTCATGCCTGAAAACAACAACAACACTGCAGCCTTTTATGCGCAGTTGGACGCGACAGGTGGTGATGCCGGACGGTGGTGTTGTTGCCGCTTTAGTTGCTGTTGATTATGTTGTTGTTGTTGTTGTTAGTGGCCAAGATTGCGCTTGTCGAGGGCTGGTTTACCTAGACACAACACGCACGAGGCCGGCCCCTCTGCCACGAGATTCGCTTCTGGGAACCGTCTGCCAGAAAATACCTCGGTGGGGGGAGTGGGGGAGGGGTGGGGGCCGCTACGGCCAACGAAAGAGGGCCGGGCATCCTTAACGGTGGTAGAGCGAGGGTGCTAGGGGTGCTAGATCAAGGTTCTAGAGCAGCGGGTAGCTAGAGGTGCTAGAGCAAGGTGCTAGGGCAACGTATGCTAGAGGAGCATGCACTAGCGAGTGGAGCCAACGACCAGGACGAAGGTTTATTTTGGCTGCCGCCCCTCAACCCACGCGCCCCGCCCCGTCTCGCCGAACTGTCGACAACAGCGTTTTGAGTGAGCGTTTAGGCGTTTATGCATTTGGTCTTATCCGGCGGCGCCAGGCGAGCGATCGGATTAGAATAATGGCCGGATAGCCGTGCCGCTGTGGCTGTCTCTCTCGCACTCGCCCCCGGGCCGGGACGCCAGCCGCTGCGGCCGTCTCTCTCGCACTCCTTACCCGATTCTGGCGACTGGGGTGTCAATCAGGGCGGAGAACACGGCGGATTATGAAAAATTAGGAGGAAAACGGTTTGGGGCCGGAGTAAGGCCAAGTTACAGTCCGTTCAGTCCCCAAAGAGGTTTATGCACATTAAATGGATCTTTCATTCATTCATTCATTCATTCATTCATTCATTCATTCATTCATTCATTCATTCATTCATTCATTCATTCATTCATTCATTCATTCATTAATTCGCGCGTGCCGATAAGAGCCCGCACGCGGCGCGCTGTGACGTCGCGGCCAGAGGCGGCCAGTCAGTCAGATGGCACACATCTGTCCGAGCAACAAGTTGCCCGCGTGGAGTGCGGAGTGGCGGCGGAACGGCGGAACACAGTGGCAAGGGGGGGGGGGGCGGTTGCGGTGCGCCCGCGCGCGGCTCGGAGACGCGCCAAAATGTAAAATTGACGTCAGTCACGACGTTTCTGACACGGTGACGCTACACTACACGACGACGCCCCCGCACCGCCCTTGCCGGGAAAGGGAGGAAAGGAAGCACAGCCTGGCGTCGTCGCGCGTGTCGTCTGCGCGCCGTCTACACGCCGTGTGTGTGTGCGTGCGTGTGTGTGTGTGTGCGTGTGTGTGCGCGCGCGCCGTATGCAAACGAGGCTTTCCCGCGCGTCTTTCTCCGGGGCGTTAATGCAGCCCTAGTGACGCTCGGTCGGGGCGGAGGGAGAGAGGGGGAGGAGCTTGTGAGCGAGTACTTCCGGTAGCAGTTTTATGGGTGTTTTCTTTCTTCTCTCTCTCTCTCTCTCTCTCTCTCTCTCTCTCTCTCGCTCTTCGACTCCAAACGGAAGAGGATGTAAATCCATAGAGGCAAGTGACGCGGGCGTGTTGCAAAACGGCGTCGCACTCCTGTTTGCCGGCTCGCCATTGGCCTAGGGTGAACCGGCTGCGGCGCCCACGCAGCCACACTCGAAGACTCGAAGACCGCCAACGTACACAGGGCTGCGAGGCGAGCTGCAGCTTGCGGCGCAGATTAAGAACGAATTGGCCGGGCCGGGGTGGCGGAGCCAGGCAGAGTCAGGGCTTTGGCACTGCAGCTGCGGACTCATCCCGAGAGTCGTCGCTCTGCCTCTCTCGCACTCATGGGCCTTGCCGTACATGTGCGAGAGAGACAGAGCGACGAAAAGGACTCTCAGTCTACTGGCGCCAAGACCAAGACGGCGTACGGCGGTGGGCTTCGGACACTTCATGAAGACACATCGAGGCCCGGCCGAATCATTAGGCAGTGTCGTTCTGTTTCTGTCCCGCTCGCACCCTGGGGCACCCTGGGGCCGTGGCGTCCTCGAGTCCCCGAGGGGTGCGAGAGAGACAGAGAGAGACGGCGGCCGTCCGTTTATGGCCCGACACTGCGCCGCGACCCCGCGGCAGTTAGCGACACATTATCACACCCCGGGGGGCTGACTTGCTGACTACTTGAAAAAGATGGCAAAGCTTTGTGACCCGTTTCTAGTAGAAGGACGGCTAGTCAAATTCGTTCCCAAAAAATACTTTGAACGCGGTCGTCTAGGGAAGAAGACTGCTGATCCTGGTCCCACTAACGTCACTACGCATCGCTACGGCTTCGACTACTCGGCCGTCTACAGTGCGTCTACCGACGTACCTTTGGCGGCCGCGGTGGCCGCGGTGGTCGGCCCGCAGCGACGCGACACTCCGGGCGTCCGCATGCTGCCGCCGACGCCAACCAGAGCACGAGCGTCAAGGATGGCCAGCTACCGAGAACGCGGCCACGCGGCGGGCTCCGGGTGACCGAGACCGCGGCGGCAGGGACGGCGACGGCGGCGCTCGGGTGCTACTTGGCGACGCCTGGGACGTCACCACGCGGCCGACGCCGAGGTCAGTGTGGCCGCCACACCGGGGCTCCGGGACGCGACGCGGCCTCCGGGGGCTGGGGCTCCGCAGGGCTCCGGGGGTGGCAATAACTCAGAGGCATTGTTTCCGGTGCACCACGGCGAGTTATTCTTGCACCTGGGACTCGGGGCCAGGTCGGCCGGGTCGGGCAGGTGGCTCGATAGGACTGTGACTTACCGCCGCGCCGCCCTCGCCGCCTTTGCCGAGGCCCAGGCCGTCAACAAGCCGGCCGTCAGCGACTGCACCCCGTCAGTCCCGCCGTGGGGCCGTGAGGGGCCTGGCCCGACCTTGCCGCCGACGTGTCCCTTTCGGTTTCCTTGGCTTTCGCGGCCGCGGCGGCGCTGCGTCGCTCGCTGCCTCGCGGACCCGGCGTCGCGGCGCCGAGCTGCACGGCCTTCTCGAGGTGCGAGAGCAGGGCTGACCGATCTACGACTGGCTTGAAATACTCGGCGCCGGCAAGGTGCCCGCCACGCCGCGCCACGCCACCACCCTCCCCCACCCTGCCGGCCCACCGTCGGCTACGTGGTGCTGGCGGTGCTGGCGGTGCTACGTGGGGGAGGGAAATAGACGGGAAATGGTCGGAGGGGCCGGCGTGGTGCTTGGACAAGAGGTGTCAGTAGCTGGCCGTGGTTTTCAGTGGCTTCATTTTTCTTCTGACTCGTTAGCCCATTTCCCTTGAAGCAGTCGCTAAGCAGCCGCGCTTTCCGCGTCTCACGCGAACCCTCTCTTGGAAACGAACCAAGCACCACCACCGCGCTTCCAGCATGCTTCCAGCCCGTCAACGCCGTGGAGGTAGGCAACCCCTCGGAGCCGTGCGCTCCAGTGTGCGGCGGGCTTGCCTATGCTCTTCTCGGCGGGCGGCGGCGCACGGCGCGCCCCTCCCGTGCCGCGTCTCCTCGTCCCTCCCCGCCATGGAGATACCCCGCGTCGCAGGCGACGCTGGCGGCCAGCACGTGAGGCGCGCGGGGTATCGCCTCAGCGGACGGTGCGAGGCGTTAGCAGAGCCAAGGCTCCGCTCGCCACCCCGTCCTGGATTCTCAGTGCGAACGCCGTGTCATGAAAACAGATACTTTTTTGTGATGCTTCTACTCGCAGTTCGATCGCGCGCTGCAGCGCTGCATGGAGAGCGCTCGCGAAGCGGGGCGATTCGGTCTGTTTGGGTGTTTCGAGGCTGTTTCGGTGGTTGGCGGGGGAAGGTTAGGGAAGGTGAGCGCGGACCGGATGTAGCCGGAGACGTTCGGCTGTCTTGTTTACATTTGTTATCATGTCGCCAACTTATCGCATCTTCCCGATATTGTGAAATCTCGGAATAAGCACTAGGTGAGCAATTATGTTATACCTGAGGCTGTTTGCCGCTCTAAATGTTTATTTGCGTTCGGATTTGACGTGCGATATCTCACACGGAGTGTGCCCGTTGGTGGAAAATAACCTCGCTGGGGTGGCATCTGGTGTTTGCGCTTAGCAGAAACGAAGCAGAAAGAACTCTAGTAGTCATTGATCACTTTTGCCTGGCAAATTCTTTTAAATCGAAATGTTCTTGTTTTTGAGATGATTTGGGTTGTTTTATGAAACTGGGAATGCCGTTTTGGTAACTCCCAGACTTTTTAACCTGTCAGGAACAGTTTCACACCAGTAGATAAAGTGTAAGTTTGTTTTGATGAGTCTTTGTTTATCATCTAGGTTAGTTTAGGCAAACTTGACTGGCACATGACTTGGGTGCTCGTTGCCCGTTGACAGCGAAGGACTCGAAGTCGTCAGTTTGATCGATATATGCTTCGCGCATGTTCTGTTCGGATTTGCAGTGTTGGACCAGCTTGCATCCAGATGCTATTGTTCCTTTGCGGAATAATCACTTTCACAAGTACTTGTTTCCATTTTAACCACCTGTTAAAGGCAGACTTTTTTCTTTGCATTCTGATTTCCGAATGTGTTTTACCAAAAGATATCATACATTTGCTTTTTCAAAGGGCTTTTATGGCTAGAAGCTTTTCTTAAAGTTGCAATTATGTCTTTGGTTTGCAGCTCTATGCAGTACGTCTCAACATGAAGTTCGCAGAGCATCTTTTAGCTCACATAACACCAGAATGGCGGAAACAGTATATCAATTACGAGGTTTGTTATAAATTTCATTGGATTATTTCCCAATTATCCAGGTACATTGTGCCCACAACAAATTAATTCTTGGTCACATTTTTCAGGAAATGAAGGCGATGCTGTATACAGCAGTGGAAGAGGCGCCATCTGCAGAGTCAGTGGGACCAGAAATGATTGCAAGACACTTTACCAATTTTGATGAAGTATTCTTTCAATATTGTGACAAGGAGCTAAAGAAAATCAACACCTTTTACTCTGGTTAGTTAACAAGTAAATCACATTCAGATTTCTCAACTTAGTCCTTTCTTTGGTGATCATAAGCAATAATTTCATTTTTCAGAAAAGTTAGCTGAAGCCACCCGTAAATATGCCACACTTCGAAGTGAGCTGCAGTTGGCATTGGAGGAAAGAGATAAGTCTAAAGGCAAACGGCCAGTCCGCAAACTTCAAGACCTAAAACTTGCATTTAGTGAATTTTACTTAAGTTTGGTGCTGTTACAAAATTATCAGAATCTCAACTATACAGGATTTAGGAAAATTTTGAAGAAACATGACAAGGTAATGTTTGGTTTAATTTTATTCATTTATATATACTTTTTTCTTTGTTGGTAACTACAGCAACTGACCAATATTTATCTTCTTTTTATTTTTCTAGCTTCTGTCGGTAGACTCTGGCACTGCTTGGCGTGTAGAACATGTTGAGACGTCACATTTCTTCACAAACAAGGATGTTGGCCGTCTTGTCAATGAAACTGAAGGTGCTGTCACGTCAGAGCTAGAAGGTGGGGATCGCCAGAAGGCAATGAAGAGACTGAGAGTCCCACCTCTTGGAGAAAAGCAGAGTCCATGGATCACCTTTAAAGTTGGCCTTTTCTCTGGTTCTTTCATTATTCTTCTGACAGTTGTCATCCTTTCTGGTATGGCTAGTTTCCTAACTTGTTTTTGTTTTAAATAACTATATTTCTTTTACAACTTATTCATTCGGATCTTGATTACTATGTTGCAGCTATTTTTCACCAAGGAACAGAAAAGATGGATGTATTGATGCGACTGTACAGAGGGCCTCTCTTACTTGTTGAATTTATGTTCCTCATGGGTGTCAATGTTTATGGCTGGAGATCATCTGGAGTTAATCATGTGCTGATTTTTGAACTTGATCCCCGCCATCACTTAACAGAACAACATATTATGGAAATGGCAGCTGTTTTGGGAGTTGTTGGAGCGCTCAGTGTGCTATCCTTTCTTTATGCTTCTGCTTTGTCAATACCTCCATATGTGAATCCTTTGGCTCTTGTCCTCATAATGTTTGCATTTGCACTCAATCCTTTGCGGACCTTTCGTCATGAAGCTCGATTTTGGTTCCTACGCGTTTTCGTGAGTAACTGTCATCTGAAATGAACAATATCGCAATGTTGTGGCAATAAATCATACCCCCTTGATTTTGCAGGGTAGGATGTTGGCAGCACCATTTTTCTCTGTTGGCTTCGCTGACTTTTGGTTGGCTGATCAGTTAAATAGCTTGTCTACTGTTCTTGTTGACTTCCACTTTCTTGTGTGCTTCTATTTAACAACGCCTAGTTGGCTTGAGGCAGGAGGTATATTGCACTGATTATGTGACTATGTGACTAATAATTTGTAGATTGTTTCAACTGTAGGGCAAGTATCTTATGTTTTTTTAAATTTTCCCAGACACAAGTCAGTGTGCAGAACGGTCCTTTATCACCAAACCTATTGTCAACTGCATACCTGCATGGATACGGTTTGCTCAGTGTTTACGCCGCTACAGAGATAGTAAAGAGGCTTTCCCTCACTTAGTTAATGCTGGCAAATACTCCACAACATTTTTTGTGGTCATCTTTGCAACACTCAGAGCCTACCATGCAAGTGAGTGAGACTGTTTGATTTCAACTTTCATGTACAAGCAGTTGTATTTGCATTGCTGATTTGTTGGTTTGTGTTTTTACAGGCAGTTACCCAAATACTTTTGATAATCCATACTTTTATCCATGGGTGTTGGCATGTGTTGTGAACACATGCTACACATACACCTGGGATGTGAAAATGGATTGGGGATTCTTTGACACCCTACAAGGAGATAATAAATTTTTGAGAGATGAAACTGTGTATTCTTCAAATGTGAGTTCTATTTGATGCTCTTCTTTCTGGGTTTATTGATAGTTACAAAAGAATGTCTTAATTTTATGTCTCTCTTTTGTATTTCAGAGTTTTTACTATTTTGCCATTGTGGAAGATTTTGTCCTGCGATGGATTTGGACTCTAGGATTTTTTGTCACAGAGGCAGGGTACATCAGAGGAGAAGCCATGCAATGCATTCTAGCACCTTTGGAAGTTTTCAGGTATGAAAAGTACTCTACTTGTCTTAACATTAATTTATCACAAATTGTAAAATGAATTCCCTTTCTGTTTCCTTTTTAGGCGCTTTGTCTGGAACTTCTTCCGACTTGAAAACGAGCATTTAAACAACTGTGGTAAGTTCCGAGCAGTTCGAGACATCTCTGTTGCACCTCTTGAATCATCAGACCAGCTTCAAATTCTCAGAATGATGGATGATGAAAATGGTGTTGTAAATAGACATGTGAAGAAACGTTTGATTCCTTCTATTGAGAAGGAGAAAGAGGATGATCGTCAACCAATTTTGGAAGATATATCAGGAAAGAAACTGTGATGCGAAAATTTTAAAAATATTTTTGATACAGACAACTTTGATTTATTTCTTATTTTGTTTTGAAAATGTAAAACTGCGGCTACTTTAATGTCTGTTGAAGAAGTTAGGAATTGTTAAGTGCTCATATTTGTGATACATAAGACCATGTTTTGTAAATGTTTTATTGTGGGAGTGATTTACTTACTATGTGGTATCCTTGAAGAAGTTGGATTTCTTGTTTCTTTATCTTTTTCTGTAAATACTTTGCTTAGGTTTTTCTGCTGGCAGAATCAGTTCAAGGCTATAAAGTCCATCTTAAGTAACTTAATTATTTCAATGTATACCAAAATGCCTTTCATAGATTTCTTAGCGCTATGTAAAGTTTGTCAGAGGTTCATTTACATATATGTTCAGTGTTGAGAGTGCTACCATATTTTTAAAATGCCAGAAAGCTTTAAACAATCAAGTATAGTACTTTCTCTATGCTCTAAGGTTGCTTTGTGTGTCTTCCAATTTGCTTGGATGCTCTTGGAATGTTCTTCAAATTGTATTCACAGTCTGATGAAATTTTGTAAAGATTTGCAGCTTTACTATTTAATGGCAACTCAAGAATTTTAGTACAGAATTGGTAATATTGTTATACCAATTTAGTTTCATAGCATTCCCCCACGAAAACAATATGTTCTCCTTAGTTCCTTTATGTTATAGATGAAATAGGTGTTAGTCCTTTTGTTGACCGGAGAGGATGATATGCCAATAGATCGAAAGACTGCAGTTTGGCTCCAGAGACCTGGTCCATCCTTCAAATTGAATCTATTGTCTATTTTGTACTTCATATTCCATTTCAAAGTCCAAAGTTCTCATGAACATTTTCACTTTTAATGTTATTTTTAATAAAATGTGTGGTAAATAATTTATTGAACAATGTATGGTACCATGTCCTCACCTAATATAGAAAAAACAAGAAGTCCTTTTCTGTTTGTTTCTTTACTTAGATGATTGCATTAAAATTTTTGAATCAAAATCTCAACAGCATCTGTTAGTTTAATGTTCTTGTTTGAATTAAATGTGTGTTAAACAATATATTGAAAAATTGTATGTGGCATGTTCACCTAATATAGAAAAAACAGAGTGGGCCCGTTTGTTTCTTTACTTCGCTGGTTGCATAATTTTTTTGAACAAAATCTCTAAATCATTTTGTTTGTAATTAGTTCTTGTTTGAATGTGTTGAGGACGATTTTAATCTATGACGACTAAATTGTGTTTGTGGCTTTTTACAAACAGAGTTAGTCTGTTGTTACCACGGATTTCGCCGTCGCTTCGTTTCATCCTTTAAATTTGTCCATCGTCTGGCCTTGATAATCATTTTGCTTTGTAATTAGTATATTGCACTGAAAACCAAAGGGTATTACCATATATGTAAGAGATACGATGTGTTTAATTAATCAGAGAAAAACGCTTTTAAACATTAAATTTGATTGACTTTCATTTTCACGTTAACTTCTCACCGATTGACAACGTCACTCCCTCCTCCTCTGCCGCCGTTGAGTCGTTGCTTTGGTGTTGCTCCCTAGCGCAAGCCCGAGGGCACCCCAGGCAAAAAGTGCTGCTTTGCCCCTCCCTCAGACCGGCCCTGGATCCGCCTCTGGGAAGCGGCTTGTGGTGTAGTGCCACCCACGGCGGTGCCGCGGTGCCGCGCCGCCCCGGGCCGGGACAGCCGGGCCCCGCTGTGGCCAAGTCGAGTGTAAAGACGATGGGAAAACGAAAAGAGATTTGCGATCCAGCCAAGGGGCGGGGAGGGGCAGACGTGGGGCGGGGAGGGCTGGCTGAGTAGCCCGGTTGTGGTGGGTTCGGTGGGTTCAGCGGAGCGGGGTATAGCCATGGCATGGCCCCGCGGCCCCCGCGGCCCCGCACCGCAATGGAAGGCGGAACGGCGAACCGCCGCGGAGCCGCGGACCTCCAATATTTGCTCTCCTAATCGTGGCCCCGCAAGTTTTGCCTCGCCAAGTTCAGCACCTGCTCCCTGCCACTTCCGCCACTTCCGGCTCCAGGCCGCTCCGGGCCAGACGCTCGCTTCCCACAGGGCTGCCCCTGGGCCCCCAGGCCGTCGCGTCGGGGCGTTTGGGCGTCGGGGGAGGCGAGGCGAGGCAGTCGCTATTGGAGTGGCGCGCGGCGCATCGCGTCCAATAATGGCCGAGAAAGCGGAAAGAAAGGAAACGCAGTGGGCCCGAAGCCTAAAGGCAAAGGCCCGAAGCGGCCCGAAGGCGAAAGGGCCTAAAGCTTGCATCCCTGCCATTGTCACCGCAACGCGCGAGCACCGCCCTGCGCGGCCTGCGCTGCCATTGTCGGAGCGATTACTGCTTCGTCACGACTAGCCCGTGCGGCCAGGCCAGCCCGCCAGCCAGCCCGGCCGACGGCAGCCCTCTGAGTGGCACAGGGCCGAACAGTTTCACCTCCTGATTTATTGCTCACACGGTAAGCGCGCTGTAATTCCGCAATGTAACACCAGCTGCGCCGCTCCGGCGGGCCGGCCGGGTCGCTTCGTCTCCCTCGCACTCGCGGCGCCTGCCGTCTAGCCGTCGGGGTGCGAGAGAGACAGAGAGACGGAGCACTGCTGGGGTGGCCGGCGCGGCCCGGGCGGAGAGCCGCTGCTCCATCATCGCGTGGTCAGCGTGGGCTGGCCTGCGGTCGGGCGGGGGTGGCCGGGGATAGGGCCAAGCCCAGGCCCCACCGCCCCACACCCCGCAGGCCCGCAGCCTCAAGTCAACATTAAAAACCGATCTTTAAGCATCCCAGCTGCGGCCTGTGGGGCCTGGCCGGCCTGCCCCCTGCCCCTCACTGGCCGTTACCACTGTTACATTAGGCACCGAGGGCTGGGGCGGGGCGTGGCGGCGTGGCCACCGGGACGAGCGGGGAACGCGGAACCCAACAGCACGCCGTCGACACGATCACAACTTCCCACACCAATTCATATATTTTCATCCCCCGCCTGTGCGCTCTCTTAGCGCGCGCTCTCCCTCTCTCTCTCGCTCTTCCGCCCACTCCACGCGCGTCATCTCTTTATTTTTTCTTTCTCCCCGCTCTCCCTTCTCTCTGGAAAGCCTCTCTGGCGGCGGCCTCATCGCGGTACAAGCTTGCTCTCGCCTAGTAAATGGGATTTCAAGTCGAGAATGCTCTCCGGCAAAGCGCCCCCGCCCCGCCCCGCCACGCCACTCCGAACGCTGGGCGAGCAGAGTTCAGGCCTGTTGCGGGGCCCGCGGAGAGGTCCCCACGGGGGGCGAGGAAAAGTCGCGCAGTGGAGGCGGATACGGTCGCCGGCGAGCTCGCCGTCAACCCCAACGAGGCCCGCGGCCCGCGCGGCCGTCGGCCCGCGCGGCCGTCGGCCCGCCCCGACTCGCGAGGCAGCGACGCCGATAAACAGCGCTAATGGCGACTTCAATCAGGTAGCCTGAGTCTTACTTTGTCTCTCTCGCACTCGTGGACTGTTCCGCGGGGGTGCGAGAGAGACAGAGCGACGGAAGCGCCGTTCGGAATCAGTGTACAGGCCCGGTCACGTTGAATCGGTCGCGGCGTTGTGCGCTCGCTACACTGTTGCTCCGCGGTGCTCTGCCTTGGCCGTGCCGCCGCCCGCCGGGGAGGGGCTGGGGCACTTTTGTGAGGCCAGCCGGGCGGCGGGGCGGCCGGGGTCATGTGGGCCGGGGGGCGGCCCAGGCTTGTATACGCTTCTGTTTGTTGTCTTACAATGTGGAGGGGCTAAAGAGCCCGCCAACACGCCCTCGGCGAGCCTCGGCCCTTGCAGCACAAGCACTCCCCACATTCACATATCCGCCTGCCTGGCTGACTGGCTGCTTGCGCTTACCTGCCTGGCCGTGCTCTCGCCGTTGCCAGGAGCGGCGGATTTAATTTTCAGAAAAGAAATATTTTTTCTCAAACAGTGCGGGCCTATACACACACACACACACACACACACACATACACTCGCTGGCGCGCGCTTTGAAATGCAAGATAAATGAAATTCTGAGTGCATCCCGCCGCCACTTCCCCCCTCCCCTCCCCTTCTCGGGGCCAAGTCGGCCCGCGTGTTTTCAAAAGATCACAGGGCTGAGTGCGTCTGGCGGGTTCGAGCCGATCCCCCGAGGGATTCGCGTGGGAAGTCCAAACACACCCACCCCCTCCTCGCCGCGCCACGCCGATCCGAAAATCAAGTCGGCGTCGAAATTGAACAATATTTAACCCAAGACCCGCGCAGCGTGTGGGGCGCCTCGCGACGCCGCGGACCCAAAGATGGCCTCAGGCCACCCGGGGAGCGGGGAGGGGATAGTCCGCGAGCGAGTGCCAGTAGAGGGACGACAGTAGTCACTGGGAGAAGGTAGATGGTTTCGGGTGTCAGTGCGTGATGACATGCTTACACACTAGTTACTACGCTAACCTAGGTCGCCACCGCGAGCGTGCGGCGGCTCGGCGCGCGCAGCGCCATCTCGCGGCGACTCGCGGAACCTCGTCCGCGCGCGAGGCCAGTTTGAGCGGTGACAGTGTGACCCCACCAATGGATTGCTCGTTCGGAGAGAAATCCTTTGGTGGGGTCACACGTTCGGTTCGAGTCCTATTTAGCGACTCTGGAGCTCAAAACGCGTCTTGAGTTTTGGCCTCCTCCACCGGTCTTCTGGCCCACTGTGCCACGCCGACGAACGCCGAAGCTCCGCACGCTGCGCCGCCGCGCACGCGTCCAGGAAAACAAGGTGCTTTGTGTTGGTCTCTACCGTTTCCGGTGAATCATTCATGGCCAGCCAGCGGGGCAGCGACAGCGGCGACAGCATGGCGGCAGTCACAGAGACAACGGCTGCGCTGCGATATCACTGAAGCGGCGACGTCGCAGAATGGATTCCTTTGGCGATGCAAAGAGGACCAACCGAGCGACCGAGCGACCGGCGAGCGGCGAGCGGGACCGTCCGCCTGTTGCCAGCAGCGCCAGCGGGCTGGTTCCGGACGGCTGTTGTCTCTCTGTCTCTCTCTCTCTCTCTCTCTCTCTCTCTCTCTCTCTCTCTCTCTCTCTCTCTCGCGCGCGCGCGCGCGTGACACTCAGCAGGGGTGCGAGTGAGACAGCGACGAAGCACAGTGGGCCAGTAGTTTCGTTCCCGGTTCTCCGTTTGAGCTTCGTGACGTTGCTTCAATTCGAACGAGCGACAACTCGGCACGCGAGTGGGACTCGTCTCGAAGGCCGAAGCAGCCAAGCAGCCAAGAGTCGGCTGCGGGGCGGCGGCGCAGGCAAGCGGTCGCTAACGCTGCGCTGGCTCTTATTCTCTATTATTCAGATAGCCTTCAGAATGCTTTTACAAGGTTCCTTTGTGCCAGGGCGTGGCGTGGCGTGGCGTGGTGGGGTGTGGCGGGGCGGGGCAGGAGATGGGTTGGGACTGCGCCGGCCGGCCCGGGGGTCGGTCCGTACCCCTCGGACCCGAGGCCGAAGGGGCGGGTCCGGGCGGGTCGGACCCAGCCGAGGGACACACGTGTGTGACTGTCGGGCGAGCCGTCGGGGCAGGAACGATGGAAAATAGTTGGGTGGCGACAAGTCGGCAATTTCGACAATTGTGGAGACTGGTTGAACACGCGAAGAATCGGTCTTAAAACAGTTTACCCACACCGTTTAGAGATGTACGAATCAAGGGTTTACTGGTTGAAAACTCGTTCAAAATTCAGCATTGAAGCTGGGTGATCCGAAAAATCAGAATCAGATTTGATGTCAGAACATGATCACGTCACTGCCACCCTGCTACCCTGCTCCACCCTCGACCAGCGTGGCTCGACGTCGGAACACGCGGACTTCGAGGCCGCGGTTTTGCACGCGGCTCCGGTTTCAGTGTGTCGATAGCTCGAAACCTCGATACCTCGAAATCTCGATACCCACACCGGCCGGCTGCCGGCTTCGACGGGAAACCGCTGGCCTGGTTAACGACGTTAATTTCCAGCACGCCACAATCACACCCCGCAGAGGCGGGGCGGGGCGGGGCGGGTGGCCACACCGCAGTAATCAGATACCTG